TGAAACAAAACCAGCACATCATCAAGACGCATGTGCTAACCTCCTGATCCATCTACGCTTCTCACCAATGAAAAGCCAGCGAACAACACGAGCGGCAAGTCGCGTACGCGGGCGGTCGATCAGAGGCGCACCCGATAGCCCAAGAGGAAGAAGCACATCAACCGGGTGAAGATCCCCCCGAGGTTCTCGAACTCGGGCACCGTGCCCCGCCTCCACTCGACGTACACGACCACGGCGGCGGCTCCGGCCACGAACTTGAGGGCCGCGGCGGGGAGGAAGCGCCGCAAGGCGCGCTTGATGATGCCGTAAGTCCGGATGAAGACGAGCAGCTTGACGATTCGGTGCAGCCGCCTGCGGTGCTCCATGAGGACATCGGCGTCCGCCCTGAGATCCTGGTAGAGTTCCTCGAGGGCGCGCTGCTCCTCCCGCTCCACCTCGGCCATGGGCCAGTCCATGATCGGCTCGTCCGCCGCACGCAGGTAAAAATCGAGCAGATTCTCCAACGTGGTGATGTGGCCGTCGAGGGCCGCGAAGCCGGAGAGCACGGAGTCCAGCATGATCTTGGCGGCGTCGGGATCGTCTACGAGTTGTTCGCAAATGGCGGCCACCTCGGCGAGCAGGGCCAGGGTGCTCTCCGCCATTGCTGTCGTGTGGGTGGCTCACTGGCTCCGTGATGGGTGGCTTTGTGGGCCAGAGTTGTCAGAGAATCAGATTGTTGTACAGATCATTGGCTTGCGTGGCAAGTTTTTACATTAGCTCACAATACTAATCCGCAATCACCACTAGTCCAGAGGAGATAACTGACGTGATCAAGAATTTGGTTCCAGAATGGATCAGTGGAAAATTCTCACAGTATGCCACTTCCACACATATACTGCTTATTTACAATCTCTCGAAATAACTAGGGAACTTAGCAAACTTCAATTAAAAAACTCAAACAAATAATCTGCTTTCCTCGAATCAGATATCTTTGAACAGGTACGCATAGCAGAAACCACCTTGTCTGTCCAAATCGGAAGCAGAGGAAGGAAACAAGAGGAACGAGTAAATGAACCCACAAAATTGCACCTAGCACGGTCATCATCAAGATGCAATATGCATGTGTTGATTTCTCGATCCATCTACATTGTACGCTGCTCAACAATCACAGCCGAAAAGCCAAAGAACGCAACGAACACCCTGTTCTGCATTACAACAGCTCTGCCATTTGGACTTGACTTGGAGAAGACAGCTTCGCCTCTCTTAATTCTAAAGCATCCAAAATCCACCAGAAACAGATTGAAGCAGAAACATAGCGTGGTGAAGAATTAAACGACACATACAAACGCATTGCTGCAATCAAATTCTAGAAAATTCATCAAAGGGCTATAACAATCCAACGATTTATACTAGATCATGCAAATGAATCAGCAGGAGAAAGATGGAAGCAAGATCGGCTTGGATAGCTCAGAACAGAATTTTCCCATCAGGAATCACCATTTCTCAATTGTCAAAAATCAGAAGCAGAGGACGAAACAACAAGACGAGCGACCAAAGCAAAAGACGAATCTACACAAAAGCGATGAAACAAAACTAGCACATCGTTGAGACGCCTGTGCTAATCACCCGATCCATCTACGCTCCTCGCCTCCTCACCAATGAAAAGCTCGCAAACAACACGAATGGCACGTCGCGCGGTCGATCAGAGGCGAACCCGATAGCCCAAGAGGAAGAAGGACGTCAGCCAGGTGAAGATCCTCCCGAGGGCCTCGAACGCGGGCACCGTGCCGCCGCGCCTCAACTCGACGTAGACGGCCAAGGCGGCGGTTCCGGCCACGAACGTGAGGGCCACGGCGGGGAGGAAGCGCCGCAAGGCGCGCCTGATGATGGCGTAGGTCCAGATGAAGACGAGCATCTTGACGACTTGGCGCAGCTGCCTGCGGTTCTCCAGGAGGAAATCGGCGTCCACCTTGATGCCGCGGTAGTCCTCCTCGAGTTGGACGCGCTGCGCCTCCCGCTCCGCGTCGGTCATGGGCTGGGTCATGAGCTCGTTCGTCTGGTGCTGGATATGGCGGAGCTGAATCCCCACCATGGCGATCTCGTGGTCGTTCTCCGCGGCGTTGAAGTGCGCGTCGTCCAGCAGGGCCCTGGCGTCGTCGGGGTTGTCGACGAGGTGGAAGTACATGGCGACCACCTCATCAAGCAGGGGGTTCTCCGCCATTGCTGTGGTGTGGGTGGGGTTCTAACTTCTAACTGCGTGGCTCCGTGTCCGGGGAATCGGACTATCGGCGGGGGGGTGCTTGCTTTTGTAGGCCAGAATTGGGGCTCCGTGATGGGTGGCTTTGTGGGCCAGAGTTGTCAGAGAATCAGATTGTTATCCAGAGCTTTGGCTTGCGTGGCAAGTTTACATTCTGCTCCATTGCTGTGCGTTGGGTTATTTGCCCTCGCAGCCTCGCTCTTGTGCGTGGCTGCGTGTTTTGGGGGTGTTTTTGGACTAAATATGGGTTTCTTTGCTAGAGTTGTCAGTTGTAACAGAGTCGGGTACTCGTGTTACTGTCCAAGCATGGTTTGGTTGGTTAAGTCCATTAGAGCTCAGGCTGCTGATCTGTGAGAACTGGCATGAACAAAGCTTTAACGGAATTTGAGTCTAATGTCGAGCAATTTGGTTCCAGAATGGACAAGGGGAAATTCTCGCATTCCACTTTATGAGCAGAAAGCTAATCACACCACCAAAGAAAACCCTGTTGCGTCCAAATTCCTGAGTACTCGTGGTCAATAGCAAAGGGGTTGCATATGCATCTGAAATGGGAGGCGTGAGTCCATAATCCATATGACCATAATTACTGCATACAGCATAATAACACCTTAAGTTGAAATAACGAGTGAACCACCTAACAAACTTCGACAAACAAGACTCGAAGAAATCAACAGCATTCCTCGAAAGTTCGAATCCACACAGCATTGCAGGAAATATACAATTCAGAATGTCACATGCCGGTTACCAGCTTTTGGGTGAGGAGCGGTAGATAACGTCAAGAATTGCATCTTGGAGAAAATCATTGGAGAAACAAAGGAATGCATATACAACAAAACGCGACCACCATTCTTCAAAAGTTCTTGATGAGCATAAGCTCAGTTCCGCGAATACAGCGCGTCAGCTGTCTCAATTGCATCATCTGCCGGTTACCCAGCACTGTTATATTGCAACATTACAGCCAGGCAACAAATGTTGCACAGCACCAGATTTACGAACTGTGCTGGTAAACTTAGGCCTAGATGGCTAGCTCAACGAGAGACCATCAACCTTTGCAACAACAAACAAAAAAAAAATCAACAGCAGAGGTAGTTCAGAGAAGTCTGAACAGAACGACGTAAAAAGAAGGAAACACCAAAGAATCACATAATAGGTGCATATCATATCCTACTTGGCTCACAGCTGATAATTCCTAATCATTATGACTATTTCAAGTCAAAATAGCATCAGTAACTGACAGTCCTCATCAACACAGCCAAGTAGCCAGAAAAAGCACAGATCATCTCCAGAAATATGATGTCCAACAAACTTCATACTTCACAGAACATAAACATAAAAAAGTTACACAGATATTGCAACACACCAATTACCCACTGTGTGATGTACTGATGTATTGCATGCCAATTAGTTCAGTTCTACAACCAGCTAAAGTGAGTTCTTAACTAATCAGAGACAACCATTTCAGGAACTATTGGGATGCTACCAAATAGCAAAGTGGCTACATCTTGAAGTCAGACTGGCATTTATAATCGCGTATCAAAATTCACAAAAAACGTCCAAATAAGACATCTACAGATGGATTACTACTATGTGGCCAACTGACCACCAGTGTGCACATAGTCATGGCAACAGAAATGATTCACCATTGAGCATGAAACATTGTTATAAGCCACAGTCGTTTATTAAATAAATTATTTGACCAGCTATCACTAACAAATGAAGTAGAAAACAGCATTCATAAAAAAAGGTTATGTCAAAGAAACTCTGATGATAATCAAAACCTACAAATCTGAAAGTGAACTATGTATTCTAGCTACAGAAAAGAGTCAGACTAAAGTTTTACTGCAAGACCGATTCACTGATGATCAGAAATAGTCAATCAGACGCCAGGAAATGGTAACAAATGACAGTGAGTACTGATCACCAAAATGATCACATACTAACAGACAAATGAGCCCAATGAGTATAAAACAACCAGATAGTACAACTAAGAAACAGATCCGAGTTATCTTTAGTTTAGTAATATCGATAACCTAACACATTTATGGATGTATGGATCACCCTAAACTCTTAACCTAAATCCAAAAACATTCACTTGCTAAATCCAAGACAGTAAATGTACCACATCACAAGATGAAATATGTCGAAATATAAACTGCCAATGCTTCCTCATAGGCCAAAGCCACCATCAGCAACATGACAAAAACATCAAATGTGATGCAAACAGAAAGCACGGATATAACCACATAATCAAAGTAAGGGCACACCATTTATGGCATCAAACGGCCCCAGACTATTTCATGGTCATTAGCATCAATCAATCACATGTACATGCATCCATCAAACATTTCTTTCCAAACTAAAGAATATAGAAGTGCACCCAAAGCCTAGAAGCAGAAAATGAATATAATGAAACGGTGAAAATTTGTCCCACCACCATGTTTTCCACAAGTGCGTATCCACATTCCATATAACCATCTATAGAGGAAGCATGCACATGCCAAAAGGCATATACAGGACATATATTGCACAGCATAAAAGAAGCAACACTGAATCTAATCAAGTTATAGTTCCTCGGTGACTGGAACGGCAACTAGAACCCGTAGGTACTATTGAACAGACTTGAGCAGCAGAAAACGCCTCGAGATCAGACAGCATAGCACATTAATCAACTGTGACATATGGCAACAGATTAATTAGCTCATTTCATCCATTCATTAAAACGGGATATCTCAAAATCATCAATCAATATAAGGGCACATCCAGATATGCAAACTGCAAACCATCAGTAAGAAGTAATGAGAAGCTCAGAATGGAGAAAAAGCATAACCGCACAGCAACCATTCGGCGTTCCTCAGTTACGCATCACAAATTGTTTCAGACATTTAGCGTCACCACCGAAGAAGGTAGAATGATAAAAGGAAAAACAGGAATGGAACATAACAAGTGTTCAGATCCCTATGTTTCTGTAGGCTATTAAGCAACTAGCTCATAGAAGTCATACTATTCTCATCCAGCACTCTACCATCATCAGTTCATCACCACAAAAAAACTCATCAAATCTTCCATAGGCTGTCGCAGCAGAGCAAAACTTCCTGTGCATCAGATCACCAGTTTACCTCTTGAGGCGGAGGAAGATCACCACGGCAACAGCTGCCGCGGCGGCGCCGACGGCCGCAGCTCCAGCCATCACCGGCCACGCGACCCGCGCTCCCTGCAGGGTCCCAGGTGTCGGAGCAGCCACCCTCTCGTCCTCCGCAGCGGCAGCGGCAGCGGCAGCGGCGGCCCTGGCCCTGGCCCTCTCCTTCATGGCAATCACCTCCTCCTCGAGCCTCATCTTCACCGCGCGTTCGGACCCCACCTTGCCGGCGAGCTGATTGGAGTCGCGCTTGTCCGCCTTGAATTCATCTTTCTCTGCTTGGAGGAGTTTCTGCAGATCCTCGAGCTCCTCGCGGAGCGCAAGCACCTTCGCGTCGGAAGAAGAGGCGATGTACTGGAAGACGACCGAGTTCTGCTTGGCCTTATCGGAGGTGTCCTTCAGGCCGTCGATCTCCGTGGCACGCCCCTTCTTCTCACGGTCGGCAGCGGCGAGCTTCTCCTCCAGGTCGTGATTGGTGGTGCGGAGGTCCTCGATCTCGGCGTTGGCGGCGACGGCGGCGTAGGACTTGGCGGGGTTCACCGGGGCGGTGACGGTGACCTCATCCTCCGCAACGCTGCCGTCCGGCACGGTCTTCTCGGCGGCGACGGTGGCGTAGGACTTGGCGGGGTTCACGGCCGCGGTGACGGAGACCTCGTCCTCCTCGACGTTGCCGTTGGGGTAGGTCTTCTCGGCGGCGACGTCGGCGTAGGACTTGGCGCGGTTCTCGGCGGCGGTGACGGTGACCTCGTCCTCCGCGACGCTGCCGTTGGGGCTGGTCTTCTCAGCGACGACGGCGGCGTAGGACTTGGCGGGGTTCTCGGCGGCGGTGACGGTGACCTCGTCCTCCTCGACGCTGCCGTTGGGCAAGGTCTTCTCGGCGGCGACGGCGGCGTAGGACTTGGTGGGGTGCCCGTCGGTGGTGGCGGCAACGTCGTCGCCGGCGAAGCATCCGATGGGCGCGGTCTTCTGGCCGCCGGCGGCGGCGGCGGGGTAGGCGAGGGTTTCGTCGCCCTTCTCCATGGGGAACGGTGGGTTTTGGAGTGTGGATTCTCTCTGCCTCTCTGCGATGGGGACGGGTGGGGGAAATTCGCTGTGAAAAAGGCGAGACTACTTTCGCCTTCCCAATCGCGCAGTGCCCTTTTTATGCCGAAGGGGGGGCTTGATGGATTGGTGGAGAAGAAAAATCTCGGACGGCATTTGGGGGAGGGGTTTCGCTTCGCCTCACTGACCAGTGGGGCCCACGAATTGGTGTTGCCCCGTGACCCCACCTGTCAGTTTGGGTGGTAAGTGGTAACCGCTCTGGCGAGCATGCGTGCCAGCCACCGCGACGCCGGTGGGGTCGCGGTGTCAGCTTGGATCGTGGCACTCGCGTTGCGCCATTGCGTGCTGAAGAAGATGGTGCCCCCGGTGCGTGGGGAAAAAATGGTTGCTACTAGTGCGCTGCACCGGGCACGGGACACGCGTCGTGTCACATCTCCGCGAACCTCGCATCGTGCAACAAAACAGTGTGAGGCTTGTGCGCTCGCATCGTGTGACAAAGTAGCAATCGATATGCTCCCAAGTCCCGTGATCCCGTCGTTTAGCAAGGGGCACTGTGACCAGGGGCGGATACAGGAACAGGTAGAGGTAACAGAACAAACTGAACAAACTACTCAGGGTGTTTAGTTGGGGAAAAGTAAAATTTTGGATGTCACAGCGAACGTTTGACCGGATATCGGAAGGGGTTTTCGGACACGAATGAAAAAACTAATTTTAGAACTCACCTGAAAACCACGAGACGAATCTTTTAAGACTAATTAAGCCGTCATTAGCACATGTGGGTTACTGTAGCACTTATGGCTAATCACGGACTAATTGGGCTTAAAAGATTCGTCTCGTGATTTTCCCCATAACTGTGCAATTAGTTTTTCTTTTTATCTATATTTAATGCTTCATGCATGTGTCCAAAGATTCGATGTGATGTTTTTGGGAAAAAAATTTGGGGAACTAAACGGGCCCTCATTGCGTCTCAAAATATAACAACTTTTAGTTGGATATGATATATCCTAATACTACGAATCTGGATAGGAGGCATGTCTAAATTCATATTATTAGGATATGTCCCATGCATCCAAAAATTGCTATATTTTGAGACGAACACTATATTGTCATCTTCTAATGGATTATGACAGTTAATTTTAATGGAGGCTTCACGGTTGTAACACCGATATTGGGGGCTCGAGACCCCCAACGACCTCACGGTGAATCCGTCATTGAGTGTTACTGCGTGAGGCCTATACGGTTGCATCTTATCAGTGTATCACAAAGTATCAATCGATGCTCGCATATGATCCCATCGTTTAGCAAGGAAAAATATTGGTAAAACTTTTGTATTTACTAACTTCTCTCTCTGTTTTACGATGTAAATCATTCTATCATTTTCCACATATATATCTATCTAGATTCATTAGCATCAATATGAATATGGGAAATGCTAGAATAACTTACATTGTGAAATGGAGGAAGTATGTTCCATAAAAATTCATCTTATGTATATTTGTATTAAACTTACTCTGTCCGTCCAAAAAAATTGTATTAAACTTACTCTCTCTGTCCAAAAAAAGGCAACCTAGTACTAGGACATCCTAATACAACGAATCTGGACATAAAGTATGCATAAATTTATTGTACTAGAATGTGTCACATCCTAGTAGAAGGTTGAGTTTTTTTTGGACGGAGGGAGTATGTATGTACTTATGCTATGTGCTATAGAACACCAAAACTCTGTGTTTTTTTTATTGTAGCATACTAAAAAACATGTTACGTGTATGTATGATAGGATAAAAAACCTGATAATTAATTGTTAAACACCGATGGTACTGTATTATTTTGTTACATTTGATGTAAATGAAGAGAGAAACAATGTGAAAAGTATGAATGTATTCTTGGGGATATCTAATGCGCACTATTTTTTTTCCCGCTCCAACTCAATATCAAGTGATAGAGGGGATGAGTTTGGACGTCGGCACTCTAGCGACCAAATAGCGACAGTGGCAGCTAGTACTGTCCCATAGCACGACGCTCCCACGGGAGGTGGCAGTTGACGTCGTCCCGTCATGCCGGTTCGATTGAGTTGCAACGATGGTAGGGGGAAGGTACCAATGATGCTAGTGTCGTAAAAAAGATCCATTACTACAATAAGTTTTTTTTAAAGGATCTATTTGCAAAAAAAAGATTTTAAAAGATAGAATGTTAAAAATCTAATGAAGATGAGCGAGAAGAGGATATAGAGTAAGAAGATAGTGACGGTTTGGTTTAGAACTTTTAGGAAAATATACATTTTGGAGTAAGTAATGTCATATATTGTGTAACTGTGAAATTTAAATTGCATGACTTTAAATATTAAAACAGTAATGATATTTTTTGAACCATAAAGTCATTAGCAATAGCATTTATCTAATTAACCTTTTTGTATTGATTATTGAAAAGGGAAAGCTAGGAGAGCAATCAAGCGAAATTGACACGTGTCACGGCAGTGGACGAATATTCCATATTGCCCTTCCTTCCACCCCCCCCCCCCCCCCCCCCCGGGGGGCGTCCCGTTTCTGCCATCGAGTCGAACAAACAAACCCTAGAACTCCAATACCCCATCGAGCCCCGGAATAGTACTCCGCCCGCCTTGCGGAAACAAATCGAAGAAGAAGAAGGAAGACGCAGCCGCGTGCCCCCCCATCCATGGATCTGGAGATCGTGGGCCGGCACGCGCTGCTGTTCGACGACGACCCGACGGCGGAGGTCGTCAACTCCGGCGGCTCCCTCGTCCCCTGGGCCGCCGTCGGCGCGGACGACCTCCTCCTCGACCGCCACGACGTCCGGCACCTGCTCGACCGCGTGCCTCCTCGCCCCCGCCGCTCCTACTCCGCGGCCCTCCTCTCTGCCCCCTCTCTGGATGGCGTCTCCGAGGCTGAACTCGACCGCGAGCGCTTCCTCGACCTCACCGCCGACGATTTCGGCGGCGAGGGCTCTCAAGATGCGGTCTCTTCAGGTATACGTCTGTTCCCGCTCCTCTTGACCTGCCTATGCACTCTTTCCCTATCCTCTATCCTGTATTGCAACTATTCTGCGTATCCATCAGCTGCCCTTTCACCTTTAGTTGCAATTGGGCGATGCGAGCTCTAAGAATCCAGTGTTTATCATCTTAAGAGTGCTAGCAAGAAATTAGACTCTCAACAACACCGCCTGATGTATCATGTAGTAGAGGTTAGAAACCAAACAGTTTTTTCTAGTCCCCTTTGCTCTCACTGGGATCCACAGAGAATAAAAATCTGCTGTAGGGATCAAACAAGAGTGAAGGACTGAAGGTACCAGACAATATGTTGTTGATCTGTGTGCAAGAGTTGCCTCTGCAATTGTAAGGACATACAGCAAAGATAATTTGTTATGTCATAATGTTGTTTGGTTTCAGTTGTGTGAATTTTCACCATCTCGGATTTGTTTCAAGTCTTACTGAGGCTTCATTTGGATGGGTTCAAATGACATCATTCTGAACCCACCAAATGAAACCCTGCTGAGGTTAAGTCCATGAAATGGGAGGGAACTTACATCGTTCTGACTTTTGAGCCCATCCAGATGAAGCTAAGTACATGGACTGTAGATATTCGATCTTCTTGGTTAGAATATTATTTTAGTTCAATCTTCTGAAACATCGCCCTTGAATGGATCTCAGTTGTTTAAAAGTTCTTTTGTTTGAATGTTAGTAGCAAAATTAAGCTTCTCTCTGTTGAATTCCTGCAGTAGCTATTCTTCTAGCAACCAAACTAGGAAATAGTTACATTGTTATGGAGCTCGATATAGTGAGAGTGAGCAATACTTGCACAAGTAGCACAACTAGCAATGCTAATTGGACCCAAACATTTTTTTGTTGTACCTTTTGTAAGTTTGCAGGAAGGATGCTTGAATTTAGTTGATGAGCATCTTTAATCAGTTCAAGTAAGGGACTTCTATTTCTTCTAAGATGCATATTTGCATCTACACGTCTTCCTCTACATTCAACACTATATTTTATGTTGCTTGTGGTAAACAATGTTACATCTGACATCTTTTCTTTATACAGGAAATGGGACAGATACAGGTTGGGCTGATTATAATTCTGTCCCTTTCTCATATGGGAGTACTGCTGGTTCAGATGATCCAAATAATTTGAGCACATATTATTGCCCATCTTTTCCCGTGCCTGACAGATTGTTGAATAAGCTGGTAAGTACATGGACTATGGAGTCTGTCTGACTGCTTACATTGAACTTCTTTTAATAAATCGGAATTTTATTTCTTTATGCATTTTTGTATTAATATTCTTCAGCTGATCCAGCCATAATTATCCAAGGTGCATATGTTCTTCTAAGGATTAAATGCCTATTTCAGATGGTTGGAGCAGAGATGAGGTTCCTACTAGTGATGCACATTGTTTCCTTACATATATCATGATGTAAGGAATAGGCAGGTGGGATTAGAATGATGTAAATGTTACACACAACAGAAAAAAGTACTGGCATGGGATAGCTGTTCTTATGATATACCAGCTAAATTCATTTGAGCTTTGATCATAATCTTGTACTTCCATGCACTCAGACCCTTACTGAGACAATGTTTTCGCCCCCATATTTTTTTTCATTTGCAGCCTCCTTCTGAGAAGGTTCATCAAATTATTGCAAGAACTGCTCTATTTGTCAGTGAGCATGGGGGCCAGTCAGAGATTGTGTTAAGGGTGAAACAGGGTAGTAATCCAACATTTGGTTTCTTGATGCCTGACCATCATCTCCACAGCTACTTCCGGTACCTTGTAGATCATCCTCAGTTGTTGAAAGATGGTCTAGATGCTGATTCAAACAAGGGCTGCAAAACTGCCAATAGTGAGAGTGGGCATGATGCATCATCAGGCGGGGCTTTGTCATTGCTTGGGGCTGTCTATGAGTCTGGAGATGAGGATGAAGGCATGCTTCCGCCTAGTCCAAAAAGCACGGTTCCTGGAAAAGACGTGGTTGTGCATGAGCAAGGTCATGAAAGCTCTGTATCTGCTATACATTGCAACGAAGAAACACGGGATGGTCAGAAAGCAACGGCAGCAGCTACTGTTGCAGCTAAAGATAAATCTATTTTGACTAAGAAGAACCCAATGATTACTGGCAGCAGCCTTCTTGCTGCTCGCCTAGAGAAGGCCAAAGATGCCATGATGGCATCAAGTACGTCAGATGTTTCTGACACAAAAGTTGTGATTCTGGAACCACCATCTTTCTTGAAGCGTACAATGGAGAAAATAGTTGAATTTATTATCAGGAATGGGAAAGAGTTTGAAGGAAAACTCATTGAGCAAGACAGAACAACAGGAAGGTTTCCATTTCTTCTGCCATCTAATCCATATCACCCGTATTATCTGAAGCTTCTCGAGGAAACTCAAGAGGTAATGTGAACCACGCTTGTTTATACTTTCAGATTGCAATATTTCCTTTATTATCCCCCTTTCTGTTTGCTGTTTGGTACACTAAGTTTTATTAATCCCTTATGATATATGCATTGTTTCAATGTATATATTCATTATCTTTACAAGTTTACCCAGTGTTTTATGACTGAACTTCTCTCAAAATTTCACGCGCTCAATCCTTTCAATTGATTGTTCATCAATAATGTTTTGGTGAAACCGCACTAGGCATCAACTGCTAGATATGTTCATATAAAACCTCTTGTGATGATGGGCTGATAGAAATCCAAATTTTCTTCATTCGTTGGTTCATTTGATTGTTCTTTTTGGACAAGCATGTGTTGATCTACCTTATGTTTCTTTTTTTTTTTTGCTCTTTTTAATTCTTCAGCACTTTTTTTGTGCTAGTGCCTGAAATGCTAATGGCTTTTCTATACCAAGCTTTCCTCCTGTTTGTTTCTTTAGTGCACATGATGTCTTACACTTGATCTCTGAACTTCAGGTAAGTTCATATGTGGACATATTTCATTGCTGATGCACTACCTACCTTTCCCCCCTTATTTTTTTGTTGATAATTCCAGTCACTAATAAAATATTTGGTTTCATTTTCTAGCATTGGTAAACAGCAGATTAATTTAAAGTTTTTCTTGTTGTTTTGGAGAGTCTTGTGTTACCATTTCCATACTTGATTTACTTCCCAGTATGTTTGTTTGTAAATTCCTAGTTGCTTTGTTCTACTTTTTTTCTCAGTACTGATTTTATTGGCTAATTGAAATGCATACCATCTATGTTGATGTACTTGCATTCTGCGTATTCTTGCTTTTTGAGAATAAATCTCGAACTTCCAGAGCGTGTTTGGTTGCTATTTTTTATTTGCGTGGAGAATATTATTATATGTATATGCAATGTTTCTGAACTTGTCTGTTTGAGGTGTTTTGTAGGCCTCCCCATACCAATAAACAAATGGAAAATTGTAAATGCACTTAACTGTGATTTAAATTCTGAATGATTTTGCAGTCCAAGTCCCGTGGTGGTTCTTCAGAGCCCAAAGACAGAAAAAGCTCTTCAGAGCACAAAGACCGAAGAAGCTCTTCAGAGCAGAAAGACAGAAGAAGCCCTTCAGAGCGCAAAGGTAGTAATCATGGTAAGGGAGAAAGTAAAAGCAAGAAACGGTCAAGTACTAGCAAGGATGCCAGTTCTCCTGATAGAAGCTCTGCTGAGCCGTCAGAGAAGCAGCTCTATGACAAACACAAACAAGGGAAGGGAAAGTTCCACATGATCATTAGTGGGGCCAAGAAGGAACCTCCTCGGAATGTCACTGCAGATGAAGCTGCTGCTATTGTTATGGCAGCTACTCGTGGATTTGGCCCTGCCAATATTCAAACAAACACACTGAAGGACACTAGTGGAATTGGTCAGACCCGTGGAGATAATGGACATACTTCAAGCTTTGGAAGTTTCTCCTCTTTACAGGACCCAGATGTACCATCCAAACCTGTTTCAAATAGTGAGGCATGTACCTCACTCACAAGTAGTGGTCAGCCTAAAAATGAAGGCACTGGAATAATTGATGATGATTGGATTGCAAACACTATCGCAAAAGCTGCTGCTGTTGCAGCCTCTAAAGAAGCTGATTCTTCTGAAGCATCCATGACAAAAGAGCAGAAGCTGAAGGCTGAGAGGCTTAGACGTGCAAAGATGTTTACCTCTATTATTAAGAGTGGTGGCAGCAAGATGGCTGATTTGTCAACTTCAGCTGATCAAACTAATGAAGCTGGAAGGGCCTCTCCTGGTGATTTGAACTTATCTGAGTCTGATCCACAACCATCAGCTAAGGAACGTGAAGGTAGCTCTGTGCCATTTGAACGTGAAGGCTCTAATCTGGCCAAGCAGGAGAAAGACTCTGATGACGAACGGAACAGGGCAAGGAAGTATAGGAAAAAACATCACCCAGAATCTGACGAGGAGAACTATGATTCAGAGGAGAGCTATAAACACTCTAGGAAGAAGCACCGTTCAGAGGATTCAAGAGCTCATACTAGTGATGTTCACAAACATAAGCTCAAGAGACACTCCAAGGATCTGGAACCCAGGCATCATAGGCACCGTGATAGCTCTTCAGAAGATGAGCATGAGCACAGGAGCTCCAAGTCAAGGCATCGTCACAGGGATGACTATCACTATCACGAGGATGATGAGCATAGGAGTTCACATAGACACCAGAGGGACCACCGTTCCAGTTCAAAAAGGAAAAAGGACGATGACCGAGATAAGAGCAAACAAACTATAGTTCTCCCAGAAGTCTCCCAGAACCAGGAAAAGCCCCCTGGTGACACTGCTCAATCCTCCCAGGCAACAACTGAAGTGCCGAGTGAGTTGAGAGCAAAAATCAGAGCAATGTTGCTAGAAACACTGTAAATCTGTAATACCCTGTGGGGATTATGCTGTACAATGGGATAATGTAGCCAACTCTCCTTGTTCAGCACCGACTCAGGGTATCAAGAAGTGTACTTGTTCGGTTATCTCTCTCATTTGAAATATGTGTACTGTGTACAGGATAGCGACTGCGTTCCGCAATGGCCATATTGGTTCACTACTCGGTACCAAGGCCATCCAACATGGGGCCTTGGATGAGTTGGATCCTATTCGTATGGTATTGTGTATTCGCTGTTTTTCCTCGCCTCCCCGTTTGCATGAGCCGAGCGCCGAACTTGGGCTAATGGGCACCGTTCGATCGAAGTTCGAACAAATATATGCAAAGCACAGGTTTCAAAAAAAACGAAGAGCAAACGTAAAGCACGTAATATCACACAGATTAAGTAAACAGGCATGTACTCCTACTCTCCTAGTACACTAAAATTCTCCTAAAAACGCAATTACGCCTAATTAATTAGCACTATCAAGCAAACATGCCAATGTAATCGAGTTCGACGGAGCCCAACCACAGCTTGCCCTTCTGCTCCGCCACCTCGCTGAGCGTGACGCCCTTGGCAGCCGTCAACTCCTCCACCTCCACGCCGTCGGGGTTGAGCCGTACGCCGACCAGGTGCTTGGCTGCGGGCGCCGCGCCCAGCCGCATCCTCTCCTGGTTGAGCGCCACCCAGTAGCCTCCCTAGGTGTCGCGCCTCACGTTGTCGGGGTAGCCCGGGAGGTCGGCGAAGAGCTCGTACTCGCCGGCTTTGGTGCCCCGCAGCCAGTACCGGAACGCCTGGCACGGCACGGTGTGCGCCACGACGAGGTGCGTCCTGTCTCGGCTGACGGCGACGCCGTTCGGGTACGGCAGGTCGGTCTTCAGCACGGTGACCCGCCGCGTCCGCGCGTCGTACTTGAGCAGCCGCCCTGTCGCGTCGGCGTTCATCGTGATCTCCCCGTTGAACCTGCGGGTGTACGTGCTGCTGCTGTCGGTGAAGTAGGCATCACCCGTAGCTTGGTCGACGTCAAGGCCATTGAGGAAGTGGAAGGGGACGCCGTCCGCCTCGGTCGCGACCACCTGGGCCTCGCCGCCGTCGGGCCCGACCTTCATCAGCCCCTTGTACGCGTCGGCGATGTAGAGCTCGCCGGTCTTCCTGAACAACCGGATCCCCAGCGGGCGCCCGCAGATGCTCTCCCTCTCCTCCGGTGGCACCTCGGACGACGAGCAGAGAGGGATTTTCCGGTAGTTCGCATTGTACGCGAACGTGGTCCAGCCGGCGGCGCTGCCTCCCCACTTGAGCACGCGGCCGTCCGAGACGCCGGTGTAGAGGCCGTCCTTGCCGTCGAAGGCGAGGCTCTCGGCGCCGCTGACGCCGTCGGGAAGCGGGAGGTGGTAGCTCCACCGCGTGTCGGTGGTCTTGATCTGCTGGGCCGCGCACGGCGAGATCACCAGCAGCGACGCGACGCTGAGCAGCAGAAGAAACGTCGCCGTAAAATCGCGAGCCATGGGTCGCCTCATCGTTGCACGTAGCCGAGAAAACGTTTTCGATGGAGAACTAGCCGCTACCTGCATGTTTTTATAGGTTATGGCTCGTGACAGCCTCGGCGTTTCCCGGTGTCCAAGTTCTACTCGAGGTCGTCAGTAATCCTGCTCGAACTAGTACTCTATCCGTCTCGTATTATAAGTTTAATTCTTTTTAAGTTAAAATTATTTAGATTTAATTAAATTATAGAAAAATTAAAAACATCTGTAATACCATTAATTTAGTTAAATTTAAATTATATTTTAATAATATATTTGTTTACTAAAATTATTAGTAGTATATTTTTTATAAATTTAATTATAAATTTAGAAAAATTTAGAAAATGTTAAACGACTCGTAATACGAAACGTATTGAGTATTGCAGATGGACGGGAAGACGAAACCCAACCGAAACGGAGCCACGACACAGGCTTGGATTCGGTTTTCTTCACCCCCGCGGGCTCCGGCTCCGTTCCAAGTTCCCAATGCCAACCTCTCCTTCCACGAACGCCACGTCGCGGTCGCGGGCAACCCACGCGCCCAGCCGCCCACGCCCCAACCAGATTGGCATCGCGGCCGTCCATCGCCGCATCGGCGCAGGCGCGGACCCGAAACCCACCACACGGCAAACCAAAAAAAAGAGGCCTCACCGCACGGACGCGGAAATGGGTCGCGACCCAACCCACGCATTCCGCCCCCGGCTCCGATCTGCTAAGCCCCCTCGGATCGGGTTGCGGGTCCCCTCCTCCCCCCCGACCCACCACCGCTCGCCGCCGGCCGCCTCCGACGAGGTCAGTCCCCGCTCCCTTCCTCGCCCTTCCCCCCATCCCCACGCTGCCTCCTCCGCCTCCTCCGTGGTGTTATCGGGTCCAGTAACCGGAGTCATAAACCCTAGCCGAGGGCGCGGTCTACGAGCTGCTTCGTGCCCGATTTCATGGGATTCGAGTGTGGGGATTGGACCCATGGAGGCTCCGATTTAGCTTGTATCTTCCAGATCGCTCCCTTGTATACGCTGATTGCGTCGTTGGTTTGGGACACTGGGGATTCGGGCGGGTTGAGCCGGTGAGGTGAGGGGATTTAATGAAGGTATTTTGTGCGTGTTTCATCAACCGGGCGGAATGGCAGCTTGCTGCATCTCCAGATGTTTTAATGGGATTTGTGGATTATCAGAGGCGTTCTGTAGTGTGAGTGTATGCTTAGGATATGAGCTTTTCCTGCCAATTTCTACTTGCGCGTGTATAGTTATAGCTTGTAGCTACAAGTAGAAGAGGGCATGGAGAAAATATAGTAACATCAAAGGTCACTCATTGCTTTCCAGTGTTTTGGACGCGTGAGAGTTTGTCTGGAAAAGAGAGTCAAAATGATGCTATTACCTTTTCTTTGTATGGATGTAGTGTCTTTATATATACTATATTGCTACTAGCGTTGCATGATGTGCTTGTTTGGATCTGCTGCAGTGGGCGATCATATTTAGATACAAGATAGCATGCTGGAGCCAACAGCTATGGAAGTGCCGATTACTAGCTCAGTGAACACTGCAGTGGTGCCTGTGCCTGTGGTGCACAATCCACGGGCACGGAAATTGCGGTCTGCAGTTTGGCAGGACTTCACTAAGGAACGGCGTGCTGATGGAAGCTGTGTTGCTGTCTGTAACCACTGTAAGAAGCAGCTCACAGCTACTAGCCGGTCAGGCACCACACACCTACGCAACCACCTCGCAATCTGCACCACCACCTCCACGCGTCGTGCTGGTAAGCGCCGGAAGCTTATTGTGCGCCGTATTCTCCACAACAAAACCTCCACTGATGGACAGTCTGGTGACGGACATGCTTCGGGAGAGGACCATGACAACGATGGCACGCATTTTGACCAAGAACTCAGTCGGCGAGATCTTGCCCATATGATTGTCCAGCATGGGTACCGGTTTTCAATAGTGGATGATGTGGGCTTCCAAAAGTTTGTCAAGAACCTCCAGCCACGGTTTAGGATGGTGTCATATGAAACAGTGAGGGCTGATAGCATGACAATTTATGAAAGCGAGAAGCTGAAGCTGCAGGATGCTCTGCTCAAGATCCCTTGCCGACTTAGTATCTCAGTTGATATGTGGCGATCGAATACACAGATGGACTTCTTGTGTTTGACCTGTCACTATATTGACCATGCCAATGATGAGTGGAAAGTTAGGAAAAAAATTCTGAACTTTGTGCATGTGGAGGCACCTTTTACAGATGATCAGATTGCTAGTCTCATTCTAGAGAAGTTGCGTGAGTGGGGTATTGACAGGAAGCTAGCTGCCATTGTACTGGACAACTGCGCCTCTGGTGAGATTGTTGCTAGAGAGCTTCTCGTAGTTCTGCAGCCTAGGAGACTCCTCCTATTAAATGGGAATTTGTTCCAGGTGCGCTCTTGTGCGCACATTCTTAACCTCACAGTCCAAGAAAGCTTAGAACAGACATCTGATATAATTACTAGAGTCCGTGAGATGATTCAGAATGTCAAGTTCTCACAAGAAAGGTTCGAAAAGTTTCAGGATACTGCAAAACTGTTGCAGATGGACCAAAAACTGCTAGTTCTTGATTCTCCTAATAACTGGCCGTCTACATACTTAATGTTTGATTCTGCATGTTACTATCATGATGTTCTCATGCGCCTTGCAGAACAGGAAGCACATTATGGTGCTTTTCTCACTGCGAAGGAGTGGGCCGATGTGAAAGCCCTCACTGAAATACTTGATGCGCTCTATCATAAGATGGAGAAGTTTCCTGTGGAAAATCCGACTGCAAATCTCTATTTTAATGACATGTGTGAGGTGCATGTTCTTTTGAATACCTGGCGTAATAGTCCATCTCCTGTTGTTGCACAAGTGGCTGACCGAATGCTGACAAAATTTGAGGGGTACTGGGATCTTACTAGACCAGTAATGGCATTCGCATCTATTCTGGATCCTCGATATAAGATGAAGTCTGTTGAGTACTTCTGTAGACTCATTTATGCTGCTGATCAATTTAGAGCAAAGACAACAATAGATGACATTCGGCAGAGTTTTACCAATTTGTGCAGTGAATATGAACAGTCAGGAAATTCATTCAAGAATCCATCTGCTCTCTTCTACTCTGCAACCAGTAATTCTTGCATGAGTTCGGTATACAGCAATGGTGATGATTTTAAGACCTTCTCCCGTATCACATTATCTGATGCTCGAAGGGGACTTGATCAATATATACAGGAGACGTCATCAGGCCAATCCTTTAAGTCTGACTTAGACATGTACCTTGAGGAACCGGTCTATCGCCAAAAGGAAGGGCATTTAGATAATTTTGACATCCTGGGATGGTGGAAGTCCTTTGCAGCAAAGTATCCTGTCCTTTCTCAAATGGCTCGTGATATTTTAGCTGTCCCTGTATCTATCATCCCATTGGACAGTGATGCTCGGACATTAAATGAGTATCTCAGTACCATGGACCCTTCAACAGTGCAGGGATTGGTATGTGCGCAAGATTGGTTGCGGGAAGATACAGAAGGTACCACTAGGTCACACCTTCTACAGTAAGTTATATTTCTGCCGGGCATGTTAATCTGAATTATTTGTTTCACTTGTGCTTTTGCAGTTGCTAGTTCAGACGGTCATGCAGATGACAAAGCGGCACGTGGTGATGAACTTATCGTGTTACCAAAATAGGTAATATATTGGACGCAGATCACTTGTTTCAGTTTGCTTTGATACTTTTATCTTTTCCCAGATGTGCATTCATGTGACGTTCTCATGCGGAAAGTTTGGGAGGAGCTTCAATATTTATGCTTACATATTCAAGTGTTTGACTTTCTCTGTTTGCTCATGTTTTCAAAACCTTGAATACATTGAAGATCAAATCTATATCTATACTCTGGTGCAAAGATTATGTTCAATAATATAATTTATCCAACAGCAGTGCTTGGGCTTACCCTGAGCAGAATATCCCTACTTTCAAATAGTAGTATGCGTTGGAAGTTTGAGTTACATTTTTCTCGAACACCAGTTCAAGTTACATGACACCATTGATTGAGAAGATCATGTGCACAGATGTTGCTAAGCTTACAAACTGCCTAATTGAATTGCTCATGAATTCTTGTTTGTACAATTTCATAAATGCATAAGGGGAATAAATAAAAACATTCTCTAAAAAGAAATGGCTACGTGAAGCACCATTTGCTAGAACTGAAACCTGTTGACCATAGTATTTGTACTCTTAGGCTTGTAGCCTGCTAATTTACTCACGGCTTCAGATCTCGATATTAGCTAATACTCCGTATTACTTAAGTACTTCCTTCTATACGTTTTCATATAAACTTTCTTTACTCTCCATTTGCAATCAACTTAGTGTGATTTTTTTTAAAACCCGTACAGCTAAAAAAATGAAGAAAAATAGCACACTGTATATTTCTTTTCTTCACTAGACTACTGGAGTACAACAATCGGAGTATCCGATCCACAGTAATTCACCACCGAAATGGTAGTGTTTTAGGTGCAATTTTCTTCGTTGGTGCAGGTTGCACAATGGTATTAACTTTAGCCAATTGCGGTTGTTATGCTTGTGGCCTGATACTTGACGAATTGGTTAAGTTAAAAATATGTTACTTCTTTTATTGTATTGGGCACCAGGATTATTACATCTTCATTTTTACTTGTCTGCAGTTGAGACTTCTGATTGATGGCTCCTGAGTCCTGAGGAGACCAAGGAGGCGAGGACGCAAGTAACTGCATTATTTATGTTCAACAGTCCAATTTCCAGGCTTCCAGCTACACCCCTGTAAATGTATCGTTCTAGTTCTAGATCTGTTTGTACAATGAAGTCGTAGGTACCTCCAAGAAGGTAGTATCAATTTAGGCAATTGACTCTGCATTAATGACTTAATGTGTATTATGCTGCTAAGCTAAGTTATCTCCATCGTAGCTAAGTTATCTCCATCGTATTTCTTAAGAATATGCAGTTATGCAGGCAACACTCCTGAAGTGGATAACTTTGAATCCAACATTTCAAATGTGACAAAATTTATTCTACTATCAAAGAATCTGAATCTGACGAGTGACGACTTGTGTTTATGTCTTTTTTTTTTCTTTCTTAAATTAGCCAGTATAAAGAACGGTCAAGTCTCTTGAGGCTTATCAAGATGTTGAAAATCGTCTCTCTCAACTCACAGAACTTTAAAGTTGGTCACGAAAACGCAAAAGTATGATGCTAGAAGCTTATCTCCTTTTATCTTTATCTTCTCTACAAATCACTGCCCTTAGGGGCAAGGTGTTCTATATTCTCCCCAATGGTGTTGCTTTCTTATTTAACGAGTGGGCTAGAAGTCCTTACTGGGCCTATTTAGATATGTGACCACATAAGGAAAAAGTCAACTTTACATCCCAACTCCTAAAACCAGTGTAAGTCACTTGATAATTTTAAGAATGGTTTTGTTTGACGTGGTACATACGTGGCTTGTTTGACTAGGTCTTTATTTTACGTGGTACCTATGCGACAATAGGAAGCAAAATAGAATAAAACCAATATATGGGACCCACTTCTAATGATGCTGCCGCTGGTATTTGTCAGCTCCGCTATCCTCGCTGGCCTTAAGGAGAGAAGGGGTAGAGAGAGGAGCCAGATGACATGTGGACCTATTATATTTTATTATTATTATTATTGTGTGACTGACATATGGATCCCCTTGATATTTTTTATTGTAGTTTTGGATAGTATTTTTTATCAAAGTTTTCACATAAAGCTAGGTATGTTTACCTCTTCAGCACTTTGGATCACCTTCTCCATCTCTTTCTTCTCCACCTCCAGCTCCACCCTCTCCCACTGGAGCTTGATTGATAAGGCACCGGCAAGCTCCTCTTCCCCCACACCAGTGAACTCCTCCTCAGTTCGGACGAGATTCACCGTCTAGTTAGAATGAAGCAGGGGCAAAAGAGGTGGAGGTGGTGGTGATGGGAGAGCCGGAGGTGGAGAAGAGAGAGATGAAAGGGTGGTCCATAGTGCAAAATAGGTACACATATCTAGTCTTATGTGAAAACTTTGGATTGGGGGCAATTCACTCTATTTTTTTTTCCTCTAATGCCAAGTACACACCAAGGGGCAAAGACTAATCAATACACCACATGTATGCTATGTAGGATGAAAACATTGTTTAAACCGTCTAGTGATTCTATATGTACTGATTTTGGTAATTAGGGGATGCCATATAGCCCGTTTTATAATTAAGAGACGCAAATAAAACTTGATCTGTAGGTGAGGGATATAAAGCACACCTTTTCCTCCACAGAAAGTTCCAAAGACAACTAGACTACATTCAATCCGATAGTAGTGCTTTCTATACATCGTCAGGTTGTAGTGAGAAACATAATCCTAGCTTGCTTAAGGGTTTATCAAAAGCTTGACTCTACATAAACTAGCAAACAATTGGAGAATGGAGAATGCGCACTATTGCTAAAGAGTGCCATTTTTCCTTACTAGGAGCCTGTGACGACATTTTTCATTTTACAAACTTCCTAAGAGCCAACTGCAGGCTCCAAATCATCTATAGCTAATCTAATAGTCCATTCATACAATAGTTAACTATAAAAATATAATACACCATTAATACCTGGTCCCACCTCTCATACACACATAACGCTTTGGAGTCTGTGTTACAGTTGGCTATAAATCTACAGCTCGGTTTCTTCTCTTTCTTCTCTTTTCTTCTCGATTAGTGAAATTTTCACCATTCCCAACATAATGAGCTTGAGCCGCACGGTCTATATATAGGTGCTTTTATCGTGCTATTTAGAGGACGGTCGGACTATCTTTTTTTTAGCTAAGTTGAAAGCAAATTTTAAATTTTATTAGAATTAGTTATGGAATTAATTTAAGTATTTTCTCGTTTTATTCGTTGCTTATTTTTCCTGCATAGCTAAGTCGTCCTTAGAAAAAACGAAAGCATGCATTACTCTTTTCTTTTTCTTTTTCATTGTTTTTCAGTATTTACTTTTACATCTATAAGAACACGTATATAAAAGTTTTATTCACAAATTATTTTTCATTTGCAAATATGCCGTTTGGCTTATTCCGCAGATAAGCCAAATGATGGGGCTCATAATACACCCTACGGCCTATGTACCTTTTTAATAGGCGATGGCCGATGGGGCGGATGGGGAGTTCCCATCTTGCTATTCTACCCACTACCGGGATCTCGTCCCAGACTACGGGCATGTTTGGAGGTGCTTCTAGCTGCTGCAACTTCTCTCATAATCTCTAGCTCCCCAAACAATTCAGATTGTCACCCAGATTATAAGAATATATAGTTATAGAATCCAGAAAATAAACTAGAATCCAGAAACTGAAAAACCCAGCTTCTCCAAATTCGCAGAAGCTGACTCATAATCTTAAGCTTCTTAAGCTCCTCCAAAGAGGGCATACGCCAGTGCCAGGCCACCGAACGAAATGATCCCACGACCGTGCCGAGACAACCGCTAATTTTCTTCCCTGGACCCACCGCGTGCGGCAACCCACGCTCCACCACCACAGCGGGGCTCTACCCGAGAGGCTGTGCCCATCGGCACGCCAACCCCGTCACCCCGCTGACACGCGCGCAGCACACACATCCCCCTCTTCCGCGGCCAGCCAAGCTAGCCCCAGCGGCGCAAGCCAACACGTACGCCTGCGGCCTGCCTCTGCCTCTGCCTCGCTCGGCAGGGTCGCTGGCACCGGGCAGCGCAGCGCAGCGCACGCCGCATAGCGCCAACCGCCCGAGCGGCCCACCCCCCACACCCGCCCGGCGCGCGGCACGCGCAGACCAGCAGTGCATGCGCATGACGAAACGTTTCACCGCAGCGTCGCCGACCGCACCGGGCAAGTACGCTGGACCATGCATGCACGCACAGGCACGGAGTGAGAATAAATTCAAGGGATATATAAAAAAGGCCCAGCGTGACAGCGCCCACGTCCTTCGGTGAGACAGATTGCAGCTGAATTTTGCCATGGTAGATCGATCGATCGAAAAAAGAATTTGCATTAGCTAAGATTGCCAGTTTAATTACCTCCCCTCTACCCGAAAACTGAGACTTTTTATCTGGTACGTATTTCTCGATCTTACACAAAAATACTCCTATGTATACGCTTCCCGGACCAATACGGCTTCATTCCCATCTCCTCTCCCCTCCAGCCATGCCCTCCTCCTTCGCGTGCGTGCGAGCAGGCGTCACGATCGGTGGATACACCAGGCTGCTCTGAGGTGATCAACGTGGACACGGGGCCTGCAACCGAGAAGAATGTTCTTGTCAATTGTCAAGGAGATATGATTGAGTTGTACTATTGATATACAGGACTGCAAAAAGAAAAAAAGGTTTGCTTGCTTCAAGTTTTCAACACAGCATTATAGGATAACACAAGCACTGAAATAGGCCACACAAGTACACTGAGGCAGCTCTGAAGTTATACTATTACTGATGAAACAAACACATGCACACGGCCAAGAAGTTCAGGCCAATTGCATGCATGCATGCTGCAAATTGCAAAACCGACTAATGAGTAGATAACCTGCTTACCTACAGGACTACATTCACATTTTACCATTTTACCGAGGACTCGTGTGTTTGAATTACAATTAAAGTATAAATTTTGTCTAAACACAATTTACAGATGAAAATGAATGTACTACATCTTTGATCCTTTGTAGATTGTATGGGAGCCAGGGTTTCACTTATCGCACGATAATCGCGCGACAAAAATCATGGATGTAGTTCTTGATTTGTAATTGCCAATGGTGAAGAATTTTTTTGAAATAGAGTAAGCTAAATTCAAATTTGAGGGCACAGGCAAAAATAGTTTACAAATTGGAAAAAAGAAGAGAATATTGGGCTACATATTCTTCCAATTATTCTCAATTTATAGTTTTGTACACATATTCAACCGTATTGTTGATTTTTTTTCCCTATTTATTTTACATTTACATGATTTTAGCTACACAGCCCGCGATAACCGTGCGAATATCGCGGTAAACCGTGCGATTATCGCGGTGAAACCGTGATACCGGTGAGTTTTGAATTCGAATTTTTGGATGTGATTTTTGTGCGATTTTAGGTGATTATCGCGCTATCGCGGGGTGGCGATAACCCCGGCCCAAACGATAAGGTAAACCTGATGGGAGCACGGATTACTGCCTGAGCAAAGAAATTACGGAGCTAGAAAACTGTTTTCATGCATCAACAACAAAAGCAATCACATGTTGCATTTATTTTAACATAAACAAATATCTTCTCTAGCAAGTACTATCAAATACAAAAAAAGTAAAGACGAAATTTGTAGATCTCAAAAAATAAGGGGCGTTTTGGTTTGATACCAAAATATTGTCATACCAATTTTTTGGTGGTTTAAATAGCAAATGTGATGATTTGATTTGAAGCCAAATGTTTGGTAATGCCAATACTCAATTTGGCACAATTCTAAAATATTCTTCACCACAATTTAAAATTTGGTTCTCAATTGGCATAAATCCAAATGCACTCATTTACAATTTTACCCTACCAAAGTATTAGTAGTGCCAAAACTTGGCTAGAGTTTGGCACTACCAACATATTGGTAGAGTACTAAACCAAACAAGCCCTAAATGCAGACAAACATGGCATTCTTTTTGTTAATATCTTATTTATAAATCACCTGGGGCTCTTAGCAAAAGCCAAAAATTAGAAAAAGAAACTAAGGGCAAAAATTGATTGCTTATAAGAAAGTTGGTGACACCTGTACAAACATGGAGGCCCATAAATAGAGCATGCAGATCACGTACACGAAAAAAAAGTAAAAAGACAATTGGTTGACATCAGGACCAAAAGGGTCCACACAAACCTGCAAGTTTGTACTGCTGTCATCCAATTCAATGCTAGATACTACATCCGTCCCAAAATAAGTGCAGTTTTACACTGTTCACGTCCAACGTTTGATCGCTCGTCTTATTTGAATTTTTTCTATGATTAGTATTTTTGTTGTTAGTAGATGATAAAATATAAATAGTATTTTATGTGTAACTAACTTTTTTAAATTTTTTCATAATTTTTTCAAATAATACGGATGGTCAAACCTTCGACACGGATTCCTACGGCTGCACTTATTTTGGGAGGGAGGTAGTACCAAACAAAAATGATGGACATAAGCAATGGCAGATTGGCATGTTCTGGACTTTTGCATTGAGACATGCAAACAATTTCAGAATTGTTAACGAAGTTTGTAGTTTGTACCACTGAAATTAAATTTATAAAGAACACATTTGTGATGTGGAGAGTGGTTTAATGGGTTCTAAACATAACCAATAGAATTGCAAGAGTATAGAGTGACCCTATAAACTGATCAGTGACAGTGCCCACATACTTTACTCCGCAGTAGAAGTAATGGGAGTTGATCATCAAACCAGTGGGCCAAAAGAGAAAACAATTACTCTATGTTAAAGCTATTCAAAACTGTAGCACTTGTCTTAGAATTGCATCAAATTATGCAGGCATTCAGGATCAACCACCCAAAAGCTTACCTTGGCATGGGACAATAACATTCATTAGCAGACATTACTAATCAACTGCTTAAGATGACCTACAGAACAGTATTCAGTTTTCAAGGATAAACCAGTCATCTTTAAATAAAAATGAAGCACCTCTTCAGGGCATATTACTGATGAAAGCCATTATATAGTTATTCTAGAATCACGACCTAACTCTCCCAAGATTCGGCATCTAATCTAAGACAATTGTTTAACAAAGTACCGAAGCTTTTCTCATCTTTTGAGAGAAAGAAAAGTAACATGAAGCATGATATCTACTTAAAAAATCATAGCCACGAGATCAGGGCATCAGGCACTTATTTGGGCGCACAATGAACACGCAGTAGTTATGGGATGGCAGGCAGCTCACCCATAAAATCTATGAAGTACTAGTGCCGGCCCAACCAAATCTACGTCCACCAAACCGCAACTATGGGATTACCATTGGACTATTGAAGCCTGATCAAAGATGATAAATACTAAATAGTACGTAGTCATCACCTTAAAATATACTACTAGCTCACGTTATGAAAAATTACTCACAAATTAACTGGATCTAAGTATCTAGCAGCCTAGTAGCCAGATATATATAACTCTTGTCTAATGTAGTATTTCTTAAAACCATTCTGGAAAAGGCAAATTTGGCCCTCTGCATGGCCATGTAGTAGCAAAAACACCATTCATTTTGCGTGCATATATCATATATGTACCACGAGTCCATAACTAGCTTAGTAGATTTGTTGTAGACCAGTGACCGTAGCTTAAAGCCTTAAACCTTGAAAACAAGAACAATCGACCATGATTTTGTATTGCCTCCTACACAACCTGAACCTTGAAAGAAAAACTATCTAGCACCATGCCTTTGCAGAACTCTTACTACCTAGCTCTTACTACCTCTATCTCTCAAAGAAAACTTCTTGTTACCTCACACCATGAACAACTCAACAAACTTTAAGAACAGCAAAAGAGCAAGAAACCGAGTGCAATGCGGTAGCATGGGAATCAATCAAGCAGCTGCTCACCTTCCCCTCCGAGTCCACCTCGCGCTCCTTAGGAGGCCATGGAGGCCTTGGGGAAGCCTGGCCGACCCCATCCGCGGCCATTTACTCGGTTGGCCCTCGACGTCCTCCCGCTTGCTTGAGCTGTGTGTGTGAGCTGAGAGAAGCTAGGGAGCAAGCAAGGAAGGAAGGCCTATGTGTCTCCGAAAGGAAGGGGAAGCTGAGAGTTAAAACCAAGCAAAGAAAAGGGCAGTCTACTCTTGTGCTGGGCTCGGAGAGAGAGAGAGAGAGAGAGAGAGAGAGAGAGAGAGAGAAGGGAGCGTGCAGTGTGCAGAGGCAGCAGGGGCAAAAGGAAAGGAGGGAGCAAATGAGCAATGGCTGTCAGCTATTTTTTCTGCTTTTTTCTCGAGTCCGCACAGCGCTCGCTGCTCATAGTCACTGCCACCGCAACGCGTGCCCCCACACACATCCGCATACTAGTCTACAGTTCATCTCTCATCTCCATTTTCTTTTTTTTCCTCAACTCCCTTCTCTCACTGCAAGTGGGCCACGGCACATGTTAGGACTTCGGACCACCTGCCAGTCACCGAGGGTTTTCTGTTAAGCACTTAGGCCATGTTCAACGCTCCACGCTTTAGCGTGGTCTGACCGCTCCCGAGGGGAATCTTCAATCGGGACCGCACCCTCGCCTAGCGCCGCGACTCTCTGCAGAGCGTCGGGTGATTTCGGCAGCTTTTCGGCGAGGAATGGGCGAGGAGCCGCGTTGGGGGAGAGGTGTCGCCCCGCGCCGTTGCTACTCCCGCGCTAGGAAGAAGATGGAGAGAGGGTCGACTGGAGAGAAGGGAAGAAGATGCGTCAATCCCAGCCGCTGCCGCGTCGATCCGCGGCCGCGGGCGTCGATCTACCGCCTTTGCCTCCATCCGGTGCCGTGGCGCCTCGATCCGCCACCACCGCGGCTTCATCCGCACCTGTCGCTGCTCGATCCGCCGTCTCCGCCTTCATCCGGCGCCGCCGCGCCTCGATCCACCGCCGCCACCTCCATCCGTTGCCGCCACCGCGCGATCCGCCACTTCCGCCTCGATCCGGTGCCACCGCCGCTCGATCCGCCGCCTCCGCCTCGATCCGGCGGTGGGGAGAGAGGCGCCGCCGCCAGAGAGGGGAGGAGATGCGGCGGTGGCGAAGGGAGAGTCGGAGAGGGAGGAGACGCCAGGGAGAGAGGACTCAGGAGGGGTTGATGTATATATATCTTTGTGATTTTTAGTGGGTATACTGCAAATATTGGATGTATATGCAAATAATAATAATCTAAGGGTTTAAATGTAAAATGTAACGGACTGATAGGTGCTAAAACGCAAAAATACTATGGGGGTATGGCTTGCACTATGTGAGGTATATCCCTAACTGGATGCTTGGTCACTTTTGCTCATGTGGATAGTGGAGGTGCACCCTGCATTGGGCATGCTCTTAAGCCCCGTTTGGAAACGGAAACAAGCTGATTCACGTAAAAAGATTTGTACGAAAATTCCGTAATAGTTATAACATTTCAAACGGTACTCGCAGTGACTTTTTCATCCTCTGGTAACAGTAGCTAACAAGGGAGTGGATGGTGAGAATTCCATTTCACCCTGGCATGGGAATTCCTCGAGCTACGTGTGACCTGATACTGCATCGCCGTTCAAGGCTCGCAGTGATCGACATTTTCCTCCCCGTGCTTTTCAGAGTTTTACCGCGGCACCGCCGGCCTTGCCGAATATATGCTCTGCTGCTGGCCTGAAGAAAGGCTTCATCATGCGCATGCATCGTCTATCGGCTAGCTGGCTGGCCCTGTGGAAGCGAGTGATTTCTCTCCCCGTCTCGGCCTCGGGTATGGGTTAATATCGGCGGCGTCGCGCGTGCGTGCGTGCCGTGCATGCGATGCGATGCGACATCGTCTTTTTATTCGCGGCGCGGCGCGCGGCTTCTCTCACTTCTGTCGCGGGCAGCGGCAGCAGGGTTTGGCTGGCGCCTCTGCTCTCCTGCTCGTTCGCCTGCTGCTTTTGCTCGCTTTTATCGTGTGTCTCAGGAAACGGGAAAGTGGCGGGTCGGGGGACTGGGCCGCGGAGGGGGAGGAATTCAGAGAGGACTGTGCCGGAGCGAGGTGGCGGCCCGAATCCCAAGAGATTGGCAAAGATCTGGAGGTGCTTTGTTTAATGTACAAAAACGACTCTAGTAGCAGCAGTAATGGCTACTACTAGCTACTAGCTAGGTTACCCCTTGGGGTTCCAGTATCCTTCCAGGACAATTAAGCCAAGGCTATCTTTAGATCTAAAGTTTGGATCCAAACTTCAGTTCTTTTCCATCCATCAACCTGTCATATACACATAACTTTTCAGTCACACCATCTCCAATTTCAACCAAAATCTAAATTTTACGCTGAACTAAACACAGCCCAAATCAATGTTGTTTTGCAGTGTGTCTAGGCAATGCCACGGTTAGAGTAAGAACTAAGGATAATTAATACTCAAACTATATGGAGTATTACTTATGTGAAAGTGAATGGGGAGCGTATCTTATGTACTCATTCCCTTGCATGTACACACCATATACACCAACTAAAAATCATAAAAAAAATATAGAAAAATTCATATATATATATATATTTTTCCAATAGTATTGCATCTACGTGCAAAGTCACATATTCAAATTCATTCTACGTAGAGAGTAAAAAAAAGATAAAATTCTAACAGAATTACAACCTTAGAACTGTCAGATTTTTTTTCAGCTAAAATATAATAAATTTGAGGTTAAAATTTATACCAAGGTGTAATACTATTGAAAGTACATGTATGATTTTTTCTAGATCTTTTTATGACATTTATTAGTTGGTGTGCACGTGCGTACACGTGTGCGTAGGATATGTTGCTAAGAGGAAGATAAAGAAAAAGATTAGTGTTAGCTCTCATGCAAGAGCTAGTTCATGCTTCAAAAATATGCATTAAATTTATAGTGAGATAGAGAGAGGAAAAAATATAGAGCTAAATTATTATCCTATAATAGATTTATACTTCTTTGTGTCCTAAAATATAAGAGATTTTGGGTGGATGTGATATATATTATAGTATTACGAATCTGGTTAATAATCTTGTTAGTATTAGAATTGTCACATTCACCTAAAATCTTTTAGATTTTGGGACGGTAGGAGTTGTAAGTAGTAAGCTTTACTAATAAAAGCTTAGTCTTAGGGCTTTGCTTCTTCCGCTGTTGTTTACAGAGGACTGGGCACCGATAGAGGAGTTGGGTTTGTTTTTGTTAGGTTGTGGGCTGGCTCTATTTCCTGCTGGGCCGTACTGATATACTAGTTGCTGGGACTTGGAGAATCCATTCAAATCACGACTCGATCTTACTCAAGTGAAGTCATTTTCGTTTCAGCAATGATTCCCGGGGTATCAAAAGCCTATCCAAACTCCAAAGGCTTGAAAACAAAACTTAGATCTGACAAAAGCTGAAGACTCGATCAAACTGTATACCCCACATTCAGTTCCGTTTACACTAATATATATTACAGTATTTAGTTTAGTTGGAATCAGTATGGTAATGTACATATGGGATAGTTTAAGAGCAGGTACGATGAGTACAACATCTACTTCTGGAGATAAGAGCAAGTATAGTAAGACCTAGTCAGTAGGCTGAACCATTTCCCACGTCATCAAAATCCTATATGGCGGAGTGAGAAGAGAAGAGAGAGAACGGAGCGGGCGGTCCCGCTATCGCTCGGCTGAAGCGTAGTATACGAGAGAAAAACGCCCGCTTCCAGCCCGATGAGAGCAGGTATAATAGCAGGCTATAAGCCAGCTATAAATATATTTTAAAGAGATAAAGGAAGAGAGGGAAGAGCAGCGGGCTACAGATCTGTAGTCAGCTGCGGCACGGACTCCAAGACGTAATGTGTGTATGACAGGTAGGACCAGGTATTAATAGTATAGTAAGCAACTATTATATAAATTGGCTATTACATTGGCTATAGATGATTTGGAGCTAGTAGTTGGCTATACTATTAAACTTGCTCTGAGAGCGCTAAGCCGCCGCTTCGTTCCTCTCCCTCCGATCCCGTGCATCTCTGCCGCCGCCCCCAACCTCACTTCCTCCGCGCGCCAAATCCCCCCACCTCCTACTAAAATCGAGTCCTCCCGCTCAAATCTGCAATAAAACCCTCCCAAATCCACTCCCATGCCACCAAATTCGTCCCCAAATCGCCTACTCTCAAACCCTAGACCCTAAATTTGTCCTCAAACCTCATCAAGATGAGGCAGCAATACAAAAGGACGCTTGCGCCGGCGTCTCTGGAGGTCCCTCCGCCAGCGACTTTGCCTGTCACGCCGGTGGCGACTCAGCCCTTGACACCACCGCCACCTCAGTTCGTCCTTGCCGCCGTCCTTTTTTTCCACCTACATACCTGATGGCTGGTTCCCCGCAGTAACACCGCAATCCATTGTGACCTCCTCCTCACCATGCTTGCTCGCTGGGTTACGACAACCAGGCATAGTGAGTTCGTCGGCTCAAGGCCCTGCATTAGTGCCTCTGCATATCCTGCCCCAAGTGCTGAGAATGCCGAGAATCCCAATGTTCAAGCACGATATGATCTAGCCCTTACCGTCTTTATTTTTCTTAGTTTGTTAATCCTGCTCGAAGTGTATGTATGATTTTGTTGTGATATGTCCTATTGATCTGTTCAAGGCTTCACGTCCATACATGTCAAACTCAATTCACTGAATAGCTCCTGTTGTGTCATTTATTTAGGGGGTATATGGATCAGATTAGCTCCCAAATCCATCGGATCATGCTGACAATGCTGCTTGAAAACAATGGTACCTGGGTATAAAGATGAACATGTTGCTTGAACATATGTGGTATGCATGTTACTCGAAATTAATTAATTATATGTTTCTATGTTTGTTATCAATATGATATCAATATGATTGTTATTTCAAGTGTGATATCAATATGATTGTTATTTCATAAATCTTGATATATTTTCCTGTTATAATCACCATGAAATGAATATTTTGTACCCGTGTTGTTTCATTCTTTTGGTGACTGTACGTATGGCTGAGCATACTTGTATTTTGTTTGATGAAATAGCCACAAAGATATAGCCACAGCATATCATGTGCACATGCAGGCACATGTTAACTAATAGCCAAACATACAGCCAGTCTATTATATAAGTGAACTTTTAAGTGGAGGTTTTAGATGACATGGTATAAGAGCAGGTACAATAGCAGACTATTAGCTAGCTGTAAATATATTTTAATGAGATAAAAGGTGAGAGAGAAGAACAGCAGGCTACAGCGCGGACTCCAAGACGCAATGTGTGTATTAATATCTGGTCCCACCTGTCATACACACTTTGTGTTTTGGAGTCCGTGCCGTAGCCGGCTACAAATCTGTAGCACACTACTCTTCTCTCTCCTATTTTATCCGCTTAAAATATGTTTATAGCTGGTTTATAGTCTGCTATTGTACCTGCTCTCATACGCCTTCGTACGTCGGTTACAGCGGGATGAGATCCATGAGAGAGAGAGCAGCGTGGGAGGAGTAGGTTCAGTACGGTATCGAGGAATACCCATATTCATAGAGATCGAGTGTCGTGATTACATCATCAGCAAGTTCCGCGAGGACTTTCCCACCACCTCACCTTAACCGAGGTCCGCAAAGGCGCTTGTTGATGAAGTCACGCTCCTTCAGAGCAAGTATAATAGTAGGCTATAAGCCGGCTAAATGCTGATATGGAGGAGAGAGAGGAGAAGCGGGCTGTAAATTTATAACCGGCTTGGACATAAGAACCAAGAAACTCTATGAGAGAGATAAGTGGGTCATGTATTAATTATAAAGAGCTAACTATTATTATATGGGTAGACTAAGAGAAGACTATAAAGAACCTTATAGCCAACAGATTGGCTGTATTATTAGCCTTGCTCTCAAAAATTGTTCGCCTTCCTCGACTCATCCGGCCTCAGCAACTTCTTCGCTCCAGCGGCAAACGAAGGCAGAGGACATCATGGAGGTGCATCCGTGCATATAGGGCTATTGATGCCGTGGGTGTGGGAATCATACATCATGAATGAGAGGAAAGCTTATGGGCCTGTTCACTCTGATGTCATTTTCAATCTTACTAAATTTTGATAAAGTTGTAAAAAAAGTGGCTACATTTAGTTTGCTGCCAAATTTTGGTAACTATATAAGAAATCCTGTCAATTTTGGTAACTATGCTGATAAGGTTTTTTTTTCATCCAAGTGAATAGGCCCTATGTATTGACATGTTTGGTCAACTGGTAGTGATAATTAGTACTATTGGCTTGTTACCGATGAGTATTAGCTGTTACCGTACTGGCGTGGTACCAATAGTATCAGATATGGTACTCAGCTGATATATCATACCTCCAAAACGAGACACCGTGCAATATAGCAACCCGTAAGTTTTATGAGTATAAAGTTTCTATAAAAAGGAAAGCAGTGACACTGTGTGCGTACAAAATGAAACGCGAAAGGGCGTTCGGTTGATCACCGTGCGCGTGCACGTATGTGTGCATGCATCTCAACACGTACACAGTGCACACACGTTAATATCTACTCCTCGTTCAGGTGTACATGCCGGAAGGTTTTCCAAACCTCAACATATCCCATACTACCTGTCTGACCTGTCAGCCCAGTTAATGCACAGAGCAGGCGGTGGAATACGTCGAGCAGCCATGGGCCTTGCTGATCACTTGACCGGACCCAATGCGGCGGGCTCCGTCCACGGGGCGCCGGTGGAGCAGACGGCCTGCGCCCGCCTACAACCCCAGCTGGGCCACCACTACAGGGCGCCGGCTTCTGCTGATGCTGAGGCGGGTAACGCCCCTGCGGCGACGGCGGCGTGCGCGCCGGCCGGCGCAACGCCGCGTCCGGCGGCGATCCTTGGGCAGCTTCGTCGTCCTCACCGTCACTACTGCTTCCGTTTAGGTCCAAGTAGTCCACCATAACCTGCGTGGTTTCCTCTACTGTGACTGTGGTAAGTACAGGGAGATTTTCATAATCTTGATCACCTAGAGAACGGGAAACCAAACTGTCAGTCTTGTGAGAAAGTATAGTAGTGCTATATGTAGTGTCGAAATAAGACGGCCAGAGAAGTGTAAGTACCACTAGCAAGTGGTCGAGCTTCGAGGAGTAATGGAATGGCCAGAACGAACACGAGAGCAAGATTGAAAGCAACCGGTAAACACTTCATGGCCTAAGAGGCTAAGAATATACTATTCTCTGCAGCGGCTAGAACGATCTAGTAAGGCAGCTCGACTCAAACTCTCTGTGCCCAGCTCGATCAGAAGCACGCTTATATATAACTGGCCTCTGACGCCTCTCCCCGAAGGGCAAAAGTCCCGATCGCCGATTCCCACTCAAGATGCCATCAACAACCCTGTGAAACGAAGCAGAGAAGAAGCGCATTTTGTGCATGCGCGTTATATTATGACCGGTCCGTAAACCAGGAAACACGCCAGCCACAGAATCGTTTACTCTCTCAAGTCCAAGTTACGAGTCAATTCTCAATTCATCAGGCAAAATTTGGCCTTTTAATAGTTTTTCTTAAGGCGTTCTGCTCAGGCGACAACAGAAGTGGGCGACTACCTGCCGGGGAGTACGAAGTAGTACAGTGTAGTAGAGCCTGGCCTTATGGCCATGTGTCCACATGCATGCTTGCTTTGTAGGAGTATTAATCAAACCACCGCGTGGTTGTGGTTGTCTTCATGCACTGTGTACGTCAGACAAAAGGAATAATCGAAACACCCCCATTGTCTCGCTTGGGAACCTTCTTTTCCCTTTTCTGACTATTGACTCCACACAAAAAAAAAACCATTTCTGCATGCATATCACGCACGATTGAGATGCGCGTAGCTAAACGGCGATTGCTGGGTAGTTACTACATTTTTTCTAAGACAATGGAATTGAATATTCCGGTTTTTTTTCAGCGAGCTACAGTCAATTATTACAATGTAACAAACAAGTGAAACTCATAAAAATAAAAAAAGACACCAATCATGAAAAAAAAGCAAACTAAAGACTACCAATCCAAGATAAGGAGTATACAATTATTGAATTTTATTTGTGAATCTCCATCCAAAATTGGTAAACAGTTGTATAACCGTTGTCTCGAGATTACGACATGCAACTTTTAAAAACTCGCCCTCTTCATCACCCTTTTGTAGCTGTGCGGTTCTAAGCCAATATGTTGTCTAAAAAATACCTGCATATATAAAATAGATGGTGATTTGTCAAACATCATGTCATTCATACTCAACCAATAGAACCTAACATAAACAGATATTTCTATAAGAATAAGTTTTCTATTTTTCTTTTCCGGTAGTTCCTACATGCCCCCTCCGTTCCATATTATTAAATGTTTTGGGTGTGTCATGTGTATTTTTCTTAATTAAGCTTAGACAATCGTCGTAGCAATATCTATAGCACCAACTTAGCTTATTTGAATCAACCGACGAATTTATTTTTATAGTACATTTGTTTTATGTTAAAAACCATATTACATTTTTCTATAATGTAATCAAACTTCTTAACATACACGGAGATAGCTGTATGTTGCTTACGCTTTACTTTATTGAAGAAAAAAAAGAGTCATGCTGTGCGTTATATAGATTGTACAACCCACGTACAATCATACCGTATCCACCAATCATCGGTTAGGCTTATCTGCAGGTGGGCTCGGGCAAGCAGCAACTGTGTTTGTGCATGTAGTACTGATCGGATGTAAGTACTCCAGTACATATGGATCGGATGTATAGCTATTTCTAAAAATAAAATCTACGCAGTTATGAATCACTTAGCAGATGATTACTGGAGGGGTCAATCTTTTTTTTTCTTACCAAAGCACTGTGGGAAGCCCCCGCAGTAAAAGAACTTTATTAATGAAAGGAAAAAAAATACAATAAGATTATCCAAGTTTATAATACATCATTTTCTACATTATTTCATCTATGAAGAAGAAAGAGTATATCCTTTTTTAAAAAGAGTTCTCAAAGAACGGAGGGGCCAGTCTTAAACACCCCCCCCCCCCACCCAAAAACAACATATGTTTCAAGCTTTGAATTATTTATTTGTTTGTTTGACTTAAAAATATGTGTTTTATAAAAGTATAGAAGTATACTCCTCCTGCCTTTAAGAGGATGGTTTTTAAAAATTACCCTACTAAAGGAAAGGGAAGGGCTCATATTTAATTTTTAATTTGGATTTAGTTCCTCACCGCCGGTTTTCATTGCTAGAAAAACTTGTAATGCTTACTTGAGGTTTTCATTGGAGGTCATTTGAAATATAGATATGTATGAGATTCTATTTTAAAAAATTGATTTGAGATTTTCTAACGAATATTTAGCCCCTAGATAATCTTAAATGAAAAGGTTGTCAACTTTAAGGTACAGAACTCGTCGAGATCTACAAGTTTTATATAAGTTTGATTTCAAATGAAGTCTACAAATTGTAAAAGTACGGAGATGATAAACAATACGGGAAAAATTGCTTTTACTACCTTCCCATCCTCAGAGGAGGATGGGAAATAAGCTTAAAGGGAAATATCACATAGTAAAGTGGGAAGACATGGCATTTCCTAAAGATTTTAGTGGCCTGGGTTTCACAGAAACAAGGAAAATGAACATTGCTCTCCTGGCCAAATGGATCATAAAGATTGAATCAGATGATAAGAGCTTGTGTATTGAGTTGTTAAGGAGGAAATATCTAGTCCATGGAGGTTTCTTTCAACACAAGGGTGGAAATGTGTCCCAATTTTGGAGAGGTCTTCTTAATATCAAGAGGTGGATGAGTTTTGGCTCTGAATGGGTTTTGGGTAATGGTGAGAGTATCAGCTTCTGGCAGGATGTCTGGTGGGGCACCTGTCCTTTAAAAACTCTTTTCCCTGCTATCTTTAGGATCTGTAATCAGCAAGAGCTGTTACTCAGCCATCTCAATCAGGAGGGTCCTGACTGCCTTACATTCAGGAGATCCTTTGGCCCGGAAGAAATCCTAGAGTGGGGAGACCTGAAAGAAATTATCGAACAAATTGAGGTTTCTGATTCACATGATAAGTTGGTGTGGGACGAGGAAGGTGAGGCAGGAGAGCAACGGGCCGGGAAAGTTCAAGTTGGTCCTCGGCGTCGACACGGATGCCGACGGCCGCCACCCCTACCGCTGCCAGTCGGATGCCTCAAGGTGCGCACGACACCTGGGCTCGCTGTCGGTGCCGCTGCTGAGTTGGTTGCTGATATGTGGGGCCCGTGTGGTTCCAACGTTGACTTAGCATAGCTGACCGAGTACACGTCAAACAAAACTAGGAAACATATTGTCTTGGGATAAAAGTTGACACGGTTTTGTGAGTTAAGAGATGAGCTATACCTGGTATCGTGGTTTAGGAACAAATTTCAGACTAAGCAACAACTTAATGGACCTAAAGTGAACTTAGAAAACAGCGTGGAATACAATGAGGCCACATGCGGCCTATTGGGCCACTGGCTACAAGGCAGGCTTAAGCATACTGTCTGTTCAGGCTTGGAAAAAGTACACCCAAGGTCCCTCAACTTGTAATCGAGTTACAAAATTGTCCCCCAACCACAAAACCAAATTTCTGGCGTCCCTTAACTAATCAATTGGTTCTTTAGTGGTTTTCACCCCGGTTTTATCCCCACATGTCAGCCTGCCACGTCATCTCTCTTTCCCTTCCCTCCTCTCTCTCTCACTCTTCTCTTCCTCCTCGGTTCCTCCTCCTCCTCTCTCTCTCTCTGCCTGTAGGCCGGTCGGCGGGGCGATGCGGGAGAGGAGGAGGGCGGCGCCGCGGCAATGGGGAAGCACGGCGGCAGCCCGGCGGAGCTCCGCGGCGGCCGTGCGAGGCCCGCGACGCCGGTGGGGGAAGTGACAGGGGGCGGCGCGGCGGACGTGGCGGAAGTCGTTGTTGCAACCGCGAGCCTCTCCTGGTGCGCGCGCCACCACCGCAAGTCGTTGTTGCAACCGCGAGCCTCGCTCGGATCCTCCTCCTCCTCCTCGACATGGTCAGCGAGCAAACGCCGGTGGCGACCGCCGAGGCGGAGCTGGTGAGCAGCGCCGCGGTGCCCGTCAAACCCGAGGAGGCCGCGGCGAAGGCGCAGCCGGAGGACGATGCTCCCATCGTCGAGGACGCCAAGGATGATGACGACGGCGATGAAGACGACGATGACGATGGGGATGAGGATGAACACGGTAACACTCTTCCTCCTTCGCGGTTTCGTCTTCGTTAATATTGCGATCTGTCCATGTGAAAGGCAGCGTGCAGTAGTTTTACTGATTAGAAACGTGTCAGTGCATCGTGGTGTTTGGATTTCGTTAACGGTTTTACCTTCGGTTCTTGTAGCAATTACTAATAGCTAGATTTATAGCCTGATTTGCCGTTTTTGATGACCTTGAATTGAAGGTGAGCACGGTGCAGTTGTAAACAAGGGCTCCAAGCAGAGCAGGAGCGAGAAGAAGAGCCGCAAGGCCATGATGAAGCTCGGAATGAAACCCGTCACGGGAGTCAGCAGGATTACCATCGAGAGAGCCAAGAATGTAAGAAACTGTACAGCTGCTGCAAACAATTTATTCATTCGAATGGAAGACAGAGTTAATGTTTCTCTGAATCCCGTGTGTTTCAGATACTGTTCGTGGTGTCCAAACCTCATGACGTCTTCAAGAGCCCGACGTCGGAGTCGTACGTCATATTCGGGGAGGCCAAGATCGAGGACCTGAGCTCCCAGCTGCAGGCGCAGGCAGCGCAGCAGTTCAGGATGCAAGATCTGAGCAAGGTGATGTCCAAGCCGGACGCGGCGGCAGCAGCGCCGGCCGACGAGGAGCAAGAGGTGGACGAGACAGGGATAGAGCCCCGCGACATCGACGTCGTCATGACGCAGGCCTCGTCGTCGTCGCCGCCGCCGTATCGTCGCCATCGCCGTCACCGTGTCATCCGCCGTCGTGTCGTTGTCGCGTGTCCTTCCGTGTCGTCGTCGCCGCCGCCGCGTCGTCGCCGTCGTGTCGCCCGCCGCCTCCTCCTCTCCCGTCTCACCTTGGTGGTCTCCTCCGCCGCTGGCCGGCTTGCCCATAGAACAAAAGAGAAGAGTGTGTGAGAGAGAGAGAGAGGAGGGAAGTGAGAGAAATATGACGTGGCAGGCTGACATATGGGGCCCACGTGGGTCCCACATTTGAATCAGCCGTCACGTAGGACAAAACCGGGGTGAAAACCACCGAAGTACCTACTGTGACCGGTTTTGATTAGTTAAGGGACGCCGGATATCTGGTTTTGTGGTTGGGGGACAATTTCGGAGTTGCTAGAAATATAGCGCTATATGCTACAGTCGATTTTTTTTAGCCACTTACACAGTAGTTACACCTCATTTACACCCCACTTACATATGTATAGTATGTAATTTTCGAATTTATATATGTAATTTTAGTACTTACATATGTAATTTTGAGACTTACATTGTAAATACACTAAAATTACATATGTAATTTAGGAACTTACAATGTAAATACATGCCGATTATTTTTTGATGAAAAATATGGCACCGTAAATATAGCTACACCCACAATTTTGTAACTCCATAACAAGTTGAGGGACCTTCGGTGTACTTTTTCCTCCAGGCTTCAGATGCACATAGACTAGTTGGGCTACTAGACGATTACAAGTCTCTCAAGCCCAAGTTTTAATCATCCCAAAAAAGGGTCCAAGCTTTCACAGTGGCGCTGGATCCACATATCCATCAGGCTAAGGGACTAGCTATCCATCACACGACAGATTTTTGGGTCCAAATCACACAGATTTTAGATTAGTTGGATTAGGCTCATTTGATCACTTGATTAGAAGAGTCTATACATGTATCAACATATATTAATTATATATATTGCATATATTTTATTTGTTAGATCTTTACATTGAAAAAAATATATCACCAACCCATCTACTAAAAGTTACAGTGTAATTACACTATAGTTACAGTGTAATTTCACTATAGTTACAGTGTAACTATAGTGTAATTACAGTGCACTTACATGTCATATCAACTAAACTTACAAATATAATTTTAGTTATATAGGATTGTAATTTTATATTTTAAAGGAAATAACAAGTACATATTTACTTACACAACATTTTTACCAAAATTATAGTGCACTTACATGTCATATCAACTGAATTTACGAATGTAATTTTAGTTATATAGGACTGTAACTTTATATTTTATTTCTTCAATCTCTTCACCTAGCTGCAACGACGTGCAATGTATGTACTCATCAATTATGTGCCAAGCTAGATGTTGCTGGCCTCATGCGTGCGTGGGAAGGAAACGCATCACAGCCGCTAATTAAATCATGCACAGACTAATCCACAAGGGAAGTAAATCCGAGTGATTTCGTGCCAAAAATTTGTCGCCAGATTTTTAGCAAAATCGTCAGGCTAATAGCCCGTAATATGATAGGCTTTTCCGCTAGCGTTTGTTTTCTCTGAGTGTCCAGTGTAGTTTGCTTTGGACTCTGACCATCTCTTTTCAGGGCATTGGGATTCTTTGAGTTGCATAATTGGAAGCTTGCTTTTACTTAAGCACCACCCAGTTCCCCAATCTTTCAACAGAACAAGTAGCATTTTGGAGGTTATCAGTGTCATCAAGTAAACTGAAGTCCCTTTTCTACCACAAGTTTCAGAAAAGCTATAATGCCTGCTGGAAAGGAAGGAACATAAGATTACATGTTGACTCTACACATTTGGTGATTATCTATGTGAGAGGCTTCAACTACTACTAATCCCTAGCTGATAACTCCAAATCTTTCCTCGCCTCACAGGGAATAAGAACACCGTATCAGGATCAGGCCGGCACTAGCTGCACTGCTTTTGATTTTGAACGCTCGAAAGGAGAACAGTGAGCCACTGGCAGAACGGCGTAGCCTCACCGTCTGTAGGCAGCAACTAGTTGCCGCGGTCTAGTTGTAGCCTTGTAGGCCACAAGCGAGCTCGTTGCGGCCGACACCGGACAGTGACTTGACTCAGGAGGCAATAACTCCTTCAGCTCAACCAAAGGTGGCTGGCTGATGAACTGCCCGATTTTGAAGGGTTCAGTTCAAGTTCCTCCTACTTCCCAGCCAAGCTGCCTTATCCAATTAGCCGGCAGGTGATGACTGTCAAGCCAGTTGCATTAAGTTATAGCAGACGTCCTGGAGTGTGATGGAGTTAGGTCGAGGCGATATTTCTATTGCAAGTAGCTCACAAGGACGAATGAACGAACGAAAACTAATGAACCATAACTGATAGCTCCAAGTCTCCAAGTTGTCAATTCTTGTTTTCAAGACATAAAATTAAGTAGCTTGACATCGGCCACCGCCGGTCGATACATGTCAATATCCATTAGTATTTATATTCAGGCATTGACTAAGTTAATGTTATCTTTTCCTTTGTCTCTTTTTCTTCTTTATTATTACACGTTGACTTCCGCTTTACATTAAGTAATTTACAGCCATTGGCGGTGTCAACGCCTCGCTGATGATTTAGGGAAGCTCAAGGCCATCTTTGCGTCTTGCAGGATACGAAAATATATTTTTTGCAAAGAGGAGACGCTGTGCGTTTCCTTTTCTTTCGACCTGACTCGAAAGCAAAGTGTTCGAGTTGCCTTTAGCAAGGTTCAGTATAAGAAAGCAAAAGAATAATTCGTAATCGATCCTGCGGTCAAAACGAAACTGGGGCTTTCCCCCTTTTTTATATTACTTGCAAACCTTGAATGTAACCTGGCTTATGTTGATTATGAAAAGGAGAAACCCTATGGGGATTTCTCAAACTGATTAAAACGCTTGCTCGCAGTACAAACCGAAGTCTTGTATCATTTTGTATTTAACAATTAGTTTCTTGTGAGATAAACATTGACACAGTGCATTTGTCTTGTATGTAAGCTTTGTTTTGTCTCTTTACAGCTGCTGGGAACGATTGCTAGATGGTGGGTGCAACGTCATTCCACACAGGCCGGATTCTTTATTGTGATACTTTGATAGCGTGGGAATACTTGGGAGTTATGCCTCTGGAGTCGACTCCAGCTCCCTCTTATCTCACAGGTTCAGAGCACCTGTGGCATCTGTGTACTACATCACTTCCGTTTATTTTCCAATTTGATCAGATCTAAGACATACAACTGACCTCGTGCATTGTTTGTCAACCTCCTAACATTCATGTTGATGGATATTGATAGCCAAAAAGCAAAAACTCATAAATTCTTCCTTGTAAATATAGATAAGACCAAGTAAGAGATAGTATAACAATGGTTGACCTACTTCATATTTGGGAGCTGGTTCAACCAGAAGGAGCTGTTCTTACTTTTTTGGCAGACTCCAGTAGAATACTGTAGCTAGCTAGAATCGGAGCTCTGGAAGAACGGGTTATTGTAATCATGCCCAGTTAATGTAATCATAGGGTGGTGAGGCTACTCAATTACTAGTAGTACCTCAAGTGTAGTCCGTACCAAACATTTGACTTGCTCGCATTGCTGGTATGTGTTGACTTGGGCCGTGGACCATTGAATCGAACGTCGAGTTCGGCGTCGCAGCAAAGCGATCGAGCCCCTCTGTCTCTCTCTCTCTCTCTCTCGCAGATCTCCAGACGTTCGGTAGTTCGGTTCATGTGCACATTGCACAAGCCGCCTTGAAAAACGCAGCTCCCTGCCTCCCTTCAACGCGTTTGCAACGTGCAGGCAGGCAGGATCTACGACGTTGTGCCGCACCGACGGGTGTGGTTTGGGGCCAACCCGAGATCGGCTCATGCAGTCGCGCGCTCGCCGAATCAAACCCGGCGTCCGGCTCGACCGGGTTCGCGTTCGTCGGCGAGCTTTTAGCTTCTGTTGTTGTCTCTCGTCTGGCTCCTGTGCGTTCGCGACCGCGCATCAATCATACCGAGCAGGCGCGCGTGCCGCCCGCCGGTTTGGCGGCGAGGCGGGATGCGTGACGAGTTTTTGCCAGTTCGAGCGGCGCTGGGACGCACGCGCGCGCGGGCGCGGCGTGCTGCGCTCTCCGACGACGAGGAGGCCCACCAGGCCACCACCACCTTGTATGTTGGGGGGGCACGAGACCGCAAGAGGGAATGAACCGTGAACGTACGATGCAAAAGCGAGCGGACAAGGCGGCATTGCGGCCAGGCATCTCGTGCTCGCTGTGCGGAATGGAAGCGGAATGGAAGGGGATGATGCATCCGATCTGACGCATACCCCAACTGCTAGTGCACTGCAGTGCAGGGCAGTGCAGCGCAGCGCAGCGCGTTGCTGCATGCCAGGTCGGTCTGGCCCTCTGGCCCATTTGGCCGCCGACCTCTCCCAAAAAATATGCAGGCATCCACCTGCACGAAACTGCGAGGTCCGATTCCTTTATTGGTCGGAGACAAGAGAGTGTTGCCAGTTCCCCCCACCGATTAATCCCAAGAGCAATCCGGATGAACAAGCAAGCCACAGCAGGTAACTAGGTAAGCTGTGGCGTCTAAGTTCTAACTGTAACACTCAGATAGCTGGCTGCTTGCTAGTAGGTGAATGCACCAACTCCTGAACGGAATTGGTCACATTCGGAGGAAGAGGGACCTGAATGGCCGAATACCTGATCTATAATCTGAACTTGACCCAAATTTGATCCCACCAAAGTCGTTACAGGATTTTTCTCAGGATGTTGTTGGGCCAAAGTACAACCGTAGAAGTCATGTACTACCTTACCTGCTCGTCCGGGTGGGTTTGGTGGAGCAAACTGCCGCTTACCCCGAACTACCATAATTCTGTTGCAGACTCACAAAGCCACAATGTCAAACCATCAGGCAGCAGCCATTTATGTCCCTTCCCCCACAAAAAAGACCCCTTTAGGCGCATGCGTTGACCCCCCCCCCCCCCCCCGGGACCTGGCATGTTTATATTGCGTTGAGCTATAGTGCCTTCCAATGTCAGCCGAATCACCAAACACTTGGCCCGCTAGACTTTGCTTTCGCTGCGCTCTCTCTCTCTCTCACCGTGTACGACCGACGACGGGGGAAGAGGTTGTTCGGCAAAGCCGTTGTACGTCCAATCTTGACTGGTGCCGCGGCACCGCTGATTAATTGGGCACAACCGATGAACTAAAAACGGGATCGCACAATCTTGGCCCGTGCTGCAAAGGCGATTAGATTAGCGAGCACCGCACACCCGAACGCCAAATTTTGATAGCTAAGCTCGTGTTTCATACCGTGATACGGCACGGAGTACTGCTATTTTGGCTCTTAACTAATGCTAGCTCTACGCACGACCTATACGACTCTGCAGAAATTAACATCTTGACCGTTTTCTAATTTCTAATCGTCAATTTGGATAACACACTAGCACAGTAGCAACATCTCGTGTTTCTCGTTCACAGGCACCTGAGAAACGCATAAATGCAGCGTTTTCCCACTGCAAAGGCAAGGAGGCCGTCCGTTGATGAGCCGGTCGTTAATTAGCCGCGCGTTCCCACCCACACACACACGCGAACACGCGCAGTCCAGTAGCCGCGCGTGCCCACGACGCACCACCCACACACACTTTCTGCCCCCGCCCATCGCCAAGTTGAGCATCCACGCACACCAAACACCTTGCACATTTCCTAATCTTAACACCCCCACCCAATTAACGCCAAGTCGTCTTCTCCTTCGCCTTCCCCTCTCCACCCTTTGTATATAAACGCACACAAGCGCTCGGAAAGCCAACTCAGACCGAACAAAAGGATCACCAGCTCAGAGCTCACCACCACCACCACCAACAACAACAACAACGCATTGCAAAGCAAGGAGAAATCCGAAGTCCAACAACACCCACAAGAAAAGAGAAGAAGCGGGGAATGGCGATCGCCGTGAGCGGGCGCTGGACGCGGCTGCGGACGCTGGGCCGTGGCGCGTCGGGCGCCGTGGTGTCGCTGGCGGAGGACGGCGCGTCGGGGGAGCTGTTCGCGGTCAAGACCGCGGCCGCGGCGGAGGCGGCGATGCTGAGGAGGGAGCGGGGGATGATGTCTGGGCTGTCCTCGCCACACGTCGTGCCCTGCATCGGCGGCGGCGATGGCCCCGACGGGTCATACAATCTCTTCCTTGAGTTCGCCCCCGGGGGATCGCTCGCCAACGAGGTTGCCAGGGATGGGGGACGCCTCGAGGAGCGCGCGATCAGGGTGTACGCGGCGGATGTCCTGCGCGGGCTGACGTACCTCCACGGGATGTCGCTCGTACACGGGGATGTCAAGGCGGACAACATAGTGATCGGTGTCGACGGGCTCGCCAAGCTCGCCGACTTCGGGTGTGCGAAAACCATGGATTCGGAGCGGCCGGTCAGCGGCACACCTGCGTTCATGGCGCCGGAGGTTGCCCGCGGGGAGGAGCAGGGGCCAGCGGCAGACGTTTGGGCTCTTGGCTGCACGGTCATCGAGATGGCCACCGGGCGCGCGCCGTGGAGCGACATGGACGACGTCCTCGCCGCCGTCCACCGGATTGGGTACACGGACGCCGTGCCGGAGGTGCCGGTTTGGCTGTCCGCAGAGGCGAAGGACTTCTTGGCCATGTGTTTTGCGAGAAACGCCGGCGACCGGAGCACCGCGGCACAGCTCTTGGAGCATCCGTTCGTGGCATTCGCCTGCCACGAAGTCAAGGCCGCGCAGCCGAAGCCCAGGTGGGTCTCTCCGAAGAGCACACTGGACGCCGCATTCTGGGAGTCGGAGACCGACGACGAGGAGGAGGTCGACGAGATAACAGAGAGCCTCTGCGATAGGATCAAGTCATTGGCGTGCCCTGTTTCGGCCTTGCCGGATTGGGACTCCGACGAAGGCTGGATCGATCTGCTCGGCGAGCAGTGCGAGGCTTGCGATTCGGAAGCGGCCAGGGAATCGATTGATGTGGCGCGTAGCGCGCCAAGCAAAGTGTCCAGCGCGGCGACGGTGCCAGCTGCTGAAGTGGTGCTTGTCGGCGGCGGCTGCTGTCCAAGCAATGAAGCGGACGCTTTCGATCAGTCAATTGGTGGCGATATCCAAGCCGCTGATCGTTCAATCGAGCGTCGGAATAAAGTCTGCGCTGGTTCAGACAATGATGTACTTCCATTTCGATTAGTATGTAACGGAATTTGTGCAATGGAATTCTTTCAGTTTTTCACAAATCTTGCTGTGCTGTTATGTTTGATTCCCTCCGTTCCCACTATGTTTTCGTCAAATTGTGAGCTACGCCCATGCCTAGAGCAAAAGCTCAGTCCATACGCACCACGAAATATTTCTATTCAACTTTATTACGTAAGTAACCACGCAATAATAAACAACTAAAAAAACAACTCAAGAAGCATAGCATAACCTGCCTGTGACACCACGGCATTAGATCATCCGTTCCCTTCCACGGCATAGTAAAGAATCGATAACACCTGGGGTTTATTCCGTTCTGGAATCCCAAATCCCAACCAACGGCTTCTCCTTCTCGACCACGAAACAGGCGGAGCCGCGGAGGATTCCGGTCCCCGAATCGACACGGGGGACGGGGAGCGTCAGCCTTCACGTACCCACGTACGTCGCGTAGCAGTACAGACGCACTAGTCCACTTGATTAATCTCGTGGCCAAACCAAAACCTCCGCACTGGGGAAAAAAACCAGCGACCACGAGCGGCGACGGCGCGGCCGTCGGCTCAGGCTAAAAAGAAAAGCCGTACCTGCCCCTTTCGCGCGCGACCCTCCCGATAGCGATTGGCCCTCCTGGGCCCTAGCCGGCCCAGCACCGCCCATATCCGCAAACCGCCCCCCAACCCCCGCGGCCGCTCAGCGCTGACGGCTTCAGCTTCTATCTCCTCGCCGCGACGGTGCGTGCAGTGCGTGCGTTGACGTCAAGCGTGGGGTCTGCGTGGCGCCGCGGCCGCACCGGCTGACGTAACCCCTCGATCATCCTCGCCATCAGCCCGCATTACCGCGCCCCCGTCTAGCCAAGCGCCCGCAGGCATACGTGCGCCCGGTCAAAGCGTGGGCGCCATAATTTGGCCCGCGCGCCGGCGGGTGCGGCTGGCTGGCTGGCTGCCGGCCTTGCCGCCCCGGCGATTATCCGGCCGTCACGTACCGTTTGCTCGCGACGCGTGTCGAGGCGGGAGGGTGGGCGCGCGCGGGCGCGGAGGCGTGCGTGACTGCATGGCCGGTGAGCACGCATCTATCGTGCCGTGTACCAGGTGTAGCGTGTAAAAATTTTGCGCGTGGTGGGGGCACGAAGGCCGCGTATCGGATTGGGCCACAGGGGATGAGGAGGAAGACGCGAGAGCTCTGGATGGAGTCCACGGGGGAAAGGGCATTTGGGGCGTACGGTACGGTTGCCAACTCGTGCCGCGGAAGAGTCCACGGCTTTCGGTTCGCCTCTCCCGGGTGGCCGACTTCTTGCCACTTTGTGCCTTCTGTTGCTTTCGAGTCAGCTCGGTTTGGGAGAGCGTACACTTGAGAGATACTGGTTCTAGATACGTCCAGAAGATTTAGTTTGGTCACCTTATGGATTATAATGGCTTCTTGATTCTAGAGAGATTCAGAACATTGAGGCTATTCGACTCATTGATTGCGAAATGGAGAGTTTGGTGAAGTCAGCGCGCGGTTTGGGTTGTGCGAGGGCACAACTAGATACTGTTTGATCGGTCATTAGGTGGCCCTGTTATCACGTGGACATGTAATCTCTGCATCTAGAGGATGTCTGGAAGTGTGCAAGAACTCCAAGTCTCTTATGGTCAGCTCAATGTCAAAGCCTGCATTGCTGGCACCAAAATGAGCTATACCGGGTAGCACGACCGGTGATTTGGACGAACTGGCTCCAGACGTAAGTGTGCATGCAGTGCTGTCCACCGAATTACCACTTGGCTTGGTGATCAAGCCCAGGCTGCACACTACTACTTTGTACCAATCCGTATCGATCAGAGGTGTTCTCGTAGGGATCCAGATCCTCTGCATTGGAGAAGCTAATGCAGAGGGTGGAATTAGCTCCAATCCTATCCGTCCATCATCATCCAACAGCTGCAGCTTCTTTTTCCCTTCGATACTGGTACCAGAAACAAACAAGTCCTCCTCACCGGTGACCATAGCAACGCAAGCGCAATGGCAATGAGTCCGCTTTGGCGATCTAAACCGCTGCGCCTCTTCCCTTGACCTATATTATCACCACCATGAGAAGCTGAGAGTAGCACCGAGCTCATGATTATCGAAAGAAAATGAAGCAACAGCGCATGCAATGTTCGGTCTCTCGGTGCTTATCCGTAGTGCGGTTCGTGCCGCAGGCCAACCCTTTAATATCCAGCACAACGCCATGATTTTCGTTCATCCATAGCTTCTGCAGCGCCGGCGATGCAACATACTTCACGAGCCAGCGATTCGAGGAAATCGATACTCCCTCCATCCATAAATATTTGATGCCGTTTACTTTTTAAAATATATTTGATCATTCGTCTTATTTAAAAAAATTTATGAAATATGCAAAACTATATGTATATATAAAAGTATATATGTATATATAAAAGTACATTTAACAATGAATCAAACGATAGAAAAAAATAATAATTACTTAATTTTTTTTAATAAGACGAACGGTCAAACATATTAGAAAAAGTCAACAGCGTCAAATATTTAGGGACGGAGGGAGTAAAATGGAATCAATAAGAAAAAGCAATCGCAGCCATTCCCTCTCAGATGGATGGCCAGGATTTGACAGAGGATTTGTGGTCACCGGTGAGGACTTTTGTTTCTGGTACCAGTATCGAAGAGAAAAAGAAGCTGCCGCCGTTGGATGATGATGGACGGATAGGATTGGAGCTAATGCCACCATCTGCATTAGCTTCTCCAATGCAGAGGATCTGGATCCGTTCTCGTAGCAATCTCTCTTGTGCCAGCCAAATGGATGAACTAGGAGGTGCAGGTCGTGTGTTTATTCGGTACTCCTACAGATGACAAAACCACTATACGGGAATTCGGGAAATAAACAAGACTCCGTATAAGCACATCAAAGCTGCCAGCTCTCTAGTTCAGGCTCGGTTCAGGTTCCCATCCTCTGCCTTTGGGGGAGAATGGCAGAGACACACAGTGAGGGGAGCTACAGTGCCGTACCGTTGCTACAGTGAAAATACTGTAACTAAGGTAAAAAAATTCAATTATTTTTTGTTGTTACTGTAGCATTTAATATTGTGCATCCAACGGCATGGCGATGTAGCTCTCTGCCGTTCCAGTTGGAACTGCAGAGGATGCAGAGCCGTTCAGGCTACACAGCGGCAGCGGTTCTTCAGCGGCGCCCGGAAAATCCTTTTTCTTTATCTCGAGTAGTACAACTGCATGCATGTCTCTCTACGCCTACAGTTCCGTACACTTGTATTTTTTTTGTTTTGTTCATTCATTATGGGCCGTAGCTCTCTGTCCACTGCTTTCTTAAAAAGAAAAAAAAAACAAGGACAACAAAATTCTAAAAGTTGGAGATATAGACAGTATAACGCCGTCCACTAGGATAAAGCAACGTGTTGCACGCCTCCACCAGGGACAAAACGCCAGGTATTCTCCCGTTCTAGAGCTAGACGCGCGAAAAGAAAACGGAAGCAGAGGCTATCAGAGCAGCGCTGTGGCCCTGACACTTGTCGATGCAACAACTGCGACAGGTAATCGGCGCCGAGCACGTACCAAAGGCAGCCGCCAACGAATAGCACAGGTGGCAGAAGGCGAGCTAACGGATACTACCACTACTAGTCGGTAGTAATCCCTCTGTTACTAAATATTTAGCGTAGTTAAGTTTTTTAAATATATTTAGTTATTCGTCTTATTTAAAAAAATTAAATAATTATTAATTTTTTTCCTATTATTTGATTTATTGTTAAATATATTTTTATGTATACATATAGTTTTACATATTTTATAAAATTTTTAAAAAGGACAAATGGTCAAACATGTTTAGAAAAGTCAACGATGTTAAATATTTAGAGACGAAGGGAGTAGCAGTTACTACTATTGCGGATGAGTTTGGATATGTACTACTCACTCCGTCTTAAAATGTAAGTATTTTTAGCTATGAATCTGGATACATATAGCTAAAAATATTTATATTTTAGGACGGAGAGAGTATTCTGTATTTGTATCAGCCGGAATTTTAAGGGCTGGGAATGATTGTATTGATGCGATCGAGGGCACAATCACTTCGCTGGCACGATGAGGCCAGGGAGGATATGCTTATCATCAGGACTGGGTTCACTGATTGGAATGACGACTTTTGCTTTTGATTGCTACGCGGTGCTGTTTTTTGGACTGATTTCTGTCATCAGAACATGCGAATCGATCACATCGGCCGCCTTAAATCAAGGCCCCTCCAGCGATGTGAATCATGTGGTTCTTAATTACAGTTGCTTGATTGCTTCAGATAATCCTGAACATCTAAAAAGATGCACGACCATAGCACGGGATACTGTGCCACGCGGAGCAGCAGCAAATTAAAACATATCGATCCTTCCTGGCCAGGTCAACCTAATCCAATCGCATCAAACCGAGCAACACTAATGCTTGCCGCCGCCTGCCAATCTGCCATAGAAATGTGCAACGAGCCGGCGCACGAACTAACTACTTCCTCAGTTTCAAAATGAAGCTATTTTTTAAGATTGGCACGGATATTAAGAAAGTAGGTGAGAATAATTAGAGTAAGTGTGTGATTGGTTGAAAAGAGAAAGTAGATGAAGAAGAATGGTTGTGGTTGGTTGAGATGAGAAGGTAGGTGAAGAAATAGCTTTATTTTAAGACAAGACACTGTGCTAAAAATAGTTATATTTTAATACGAAGGGAGTACAAGCTGACATATGTTCTTCATCGCACCGAACGACCGAACCGCGCACTGGGCGTATCCTCTGGCTCCCCGCGTCCTCGATGAGTCGCTAGGCAGGAGCAGGGCTTCTGCCGATCCGATCAATCTCGCGACGGATACGTGTACTTCTCTGTTCTGCTCTACCGCGCCACGCGCATGGTTTGCATGGATCGCGTCCGCAGCGTTTGGCCTGCATGCATATTACTACCTCCGTCCCATAATAAATATAGCCGTAGATATCCGTGTCTAACATTTAACTATCCGTCTTATTTAAAAAATTTATAAAAAAATTTAAAAAATTTAGTCATACATAAATCACTATTCATGTTTTATCATCTAATATCAATAAAAATACTAATTATAAAAAAATTCAAATAAGACAAATGGTCAAACGTTGAACGTAAATAGTAAATAGTGTAAAACTATGAGCCGGAGAGAGTACTACTACATGCATGGGCCAGGCGGTAGCAAGCAGTGGCATCGGCGGCGCAGCTTGGAGAGG